CCTCGGGGCGCCCTGGAGGGTGGGGTGGGGGACCCGAGAGCCTGGGTCCGGAGCAGGGGAGGGGCAGAGGCGCCGGTGCTAGCTGACCCACAGGAAACGAGCGCTGCTGACCTAGTTTGGGACACCGGAAGTGGGTGCTGGGGAGAGGGGGAGACGGGCAGGCTGGCCTGGCTTCCGGGCCAGGTGGAGGGCGTTCTTGAATTGACCCCCGCCTGAGTGCCTCGGAGACCCCTAGCTGCAGCTGAGCATGGGGATGAGTCAGCGCCGCGATTTCCCCTTCCCCCAACTTATTCCTGAAGGAGGGAGACCGTTTATCAGAGGGGCTGGTGTGTGTGTGTGTTGGGAGGAGGTCAGATTGGGCAGTGAGGGGTTAAAGCAAGCTAGGAACTCTGTGTTCCCCCAGAGAGAGAGAGAGTGTGTGTGTGTGTCTGTCTGTCTTGGGGGGTTGAGGCCTGGCAGATGATGGGGCCTCCTGCTGGCCCCCCTCCACACACATACATACACCAACTGGTTTGGTCACCCCTGTACTCTTCTGGCACAGGCAGCGGAGGTGGCAGGGGGTGAGAAGAGAGAGTGGGCATGAAGAATGTGGTGTTGGGCTGGAAAGAAACCTATTTGTGACGCGGTGCGGGTGCGGTGGTAGTTACTGTTCCTCCTTAGTGGTGACTGGGGACAAGGGCAGGGGGCTCCCCCTGGAGCAGCTGATGAAACCAGGAGAAATCTCTGTCAGGGCTTCTGGCCCCCGGGACCCCATCTCCCGCAGCGTGCCTCTGTGCCATGGTTGCTGTGGGCACCATACAGCCTGCTGGCACCCCCAGACACTGTCCTCTCCCTCGGGTACCACATTCACCTCACCCCCCCAGTTGGAGAGCAGGGGTTAGGAAGGGGTTAATGCTGTCAGAAAGGGGCACTAGGGGGCAGAAGGAAGGCAGTGCCCACTGGACGCAGGTGTCAGGAGAGAGGCCTGCTGTCATGGGGCACACTCATCACCCACTCAGTCCTGGGTGGCAGACAGGTGCTGCGCTCTTCTGCCCTTCCCCATGGTGCCCCCTGGCACCCAGGGCCCCCAGCTTCTCCTTGGCCTGGTGCCCGCCCTGGGAGGGCGCGGCGGGCAGCGGGGGCTGGGCTAACAATGCACCATCGGGCCCTTTGTGTGCTTGCACTTGGCACCCTGGGGAAGGGTGGGGGAGGGGGCCCAGCGGGCATGGGGGGGCGGAGCGCCTCTGGGGTGGGGACAGTGAAGGCTAGGGGAGAGAATCAGAGAATGAAAGCAGGTGGGGAGGAAAGGGAAGTAGGTCAGATAGGGGTGCCGGCCCCCCATCCCAGGCTACCACCGAGAGCACCAGTGCCGCCTGATCCTATGGCTACGTGGATGCCATCAGGCACAACCTTCCCTGGGCATTGGGCTCAGGAATCAGTGCCAAGGGGACTGCTCAGATGGAAGAGGTCCGGGCCCCCAGGACTGCCCCCTGCTCTTAATGGCTGTGAGACCCAGTTCTTGTGGCCCCAGGCTGAGGCCCCGAGATGGGGAGAAGTGAATGGACTCTAGGCAGGGCACTGCCTGCTGCTAGAAGCCTCTAGGCCTGCTCTGGGGCTTCCTGCCTCCGGCTGCTTGGCTCTCTGACCTCCCTGGCGTGAGTGTTAAAGCTAGTCCCTGCCACTGGGCCTTGGGGCCTAGGCCTGCTTTGGCCTAGGGCTGGAAAAGGAGGGTGGGGGAGGAAGGTGGGAACAGGCATGGGGATAGGACCCTGGCATGGGGTGTGCCCGCCCTGGCCTCTCCCCCCTCCTTCTGCTGAGTAAACTCGTGAGTAAACTTGACGTTTTGCCCGGACAGTTTGAAGTTGCCTCGCCATCCCCCCCCACCGGTCCTGCCAACACATAAGTGGCCGGGCGCCAAGGCGGGCCTGGGGGGACTGGGGGGAAGGGGATGGAGCTGCTGTCCTCCACCCTCAAGGACTCTGAATGGGTCAAGGAGAACGACCTCCCACCCAGCCAGGCCTGGGTCTTAGTGTGAATCTTGGTTGCTGCCTGCCAGCATGTCCCAGAACTGAGAGAGCCTCCTCTGCCCACTTCTGATCTCTATCCCCTACTGGGGAAAAAGGTGCCCCGGCTGCCACCTGCCCGCCTGAATAACCATCTTTGCTGTTCACAGGACACCTGGCACAGAGGTGGGAGGGGGGGCAGGAAGCTACCTTTGGCAAACCTGTCCCCTTCCCCATGAGGTAGGAGAGGCCTGTCCTCCTTTCTTTGTCCCATAGCCTCTCAGCTGCCGTGGCCTCTGCCCTGGAAGACCACACAGCCTCCCCTCCCATCTGCTTCCCTTGACTTTGCACCTGGGCCCAGCCTCACATAAACCGTCTGCTCACCTCAGGCTTGACCCTGAACTCCCCAGGCCCTTTCTTTGCCTGCCAGCCTCCCTGGATCAGGTCAGCCTTTGGAGCCTCCCAACCGATAGATACCCTTGGCCAGATCCAGGGGGCTGGGGATGCCACAGGTGGCTTGGAGTCGGTGACCCCACAGATACTTGACATCACTGATTCCTCCCCATGCCTCCCCCAGGTAACCAAAATGGCACCGGGAAACGCCTTCCCTGTTCCTGTCAGACCTCAGAGTGGGGCTCCCCTAGGCCCTCGCTTTCGACCTCACGTCTCTGGCTTCAGTTTCCTTCCTGTTTCCACCGCCCCCCCCAACTCCTCTCCACCCATATGCCCCTTTCAACAGACATCCTCTCTTTCCTTCCTCCTTTCGGCTCCCTTTGCTTGGGATCATAGGGTCTTCTCTACCACCCCCCTCCCTGACCATGGACCTCTGAGCCTTTAACCTCTTCTGAAATCCAGTCCTCTTGGAGATTTGTGACTAAGTTCCTCTGCCCACTCCACTCTTGTGTGCAAGGCTCTTGGGGAAGAGGAGAACCCTGGGCTACTGAAGGAAACTACAACTCCCAAGAGACAGAATGCAACTGTGGTGCACCCTGGGAGTTGTAGTTCTCCAAGAGCTCTCAACCTGTCCAGAGTCTGGAACTAATTCTTGAGGAGTGTAAAAAGCCAGGGCTGGGATGGATTTGTAAAACAAGTACCCTGTGCACCTCTGCGTCACATCCCCCCATACACTTGGGTCTTGCTGTAGCGTTCCTGTGTGACACCACAATTCATCTCCCTTGCTGAGACATGCTAGCCATCCTCACCTGATGGCCCCACCCAAGAGATGCCCACACCCTGCCCTGCTGCCCCTGGCAGAGGTGGAATGAGGGGCCCCTGTGAACTCCCTCCCTGCCCCCTGCCCTCTAGGCCAGTTCCCTCCCTTTATAGGGATCAAAGGGCAGAGAGGAGCTCCACCCCGCTGCTTCGCAGGCTACAGGCTCCAGGGCTCTCGGCAATGGCTGGGACTTTGGTGCCCAGCCATTGGCTTGGGCAGGGGGAATGCCGGGAGCTTGGCGCCGGGTGGCAAGGAGACACCGTCCCCCACCCTGGGGCGTGGAGCCTCCGGTAACTGCTCACAGGCCGTCGGCAGCCTTGCCTTCTCTCTTCGTGCAGGCCTGGACCGACCCGGTGCGCCCTCCTTCTAAGAAGGTGGCTTGGGGACAGGGTCTTGGGGGCCTTATCTACAGGGCCCTGGGGGAGTCTGGGGAAAGGAGGAGTTTGGGCCCGCCTGGCTGGCACCAAGGCTCAGGGTGACCCTCCCCCACCCGAGGCCCACAGTTGGCATGGGGCGCTGGGAGCAAGGGGGGGGTGTAGAAGGGAGAGGAGGCAGGACTGCCAGCATCCTGGTGGGTAGGTGCCAACCGGGCCGGGAGCTGGTGAGGGGCAGCAGGCCAGCGGCATGGAGCCAGCAGCTGTTGGGGGGAAGAGGGGAGGGGACACTGCAGGGGGCATTTCTGTTGTCCCCACCCTTTGCCAAGCAGGACTTGGGACAGCCAGTGTCTAGTGTCTAGGAGACACCAAGTCGCCCCTCCCTTCAGGAACAGAGGACCCCAGGAACTGTCAGAGAGGAACTTTGCGGCCCACCCAACTCTGGGCTCCAAGCCCTCCTGAGTTGCCCCTCAGGCCCAGGCGGGTCCCACCCAACCGGCCAGGGTGGCAGAGGCTTGCGCAAGGGGTGGGGCTAGGCGCTTCCCAGCAGATGCCCCCTCCTGACTCCTTCCTCTTTCGGTGCCCACAGCTCCCCCATCCATCCTCCCCCACCACAGACAGACACACACACACACACACACACACACACACATGCTTGCATGTGCTCAGGGCAGCTCTGTCCCCCTGATCCCCCTGGCCACTGGGGGCTGGCACAAGTGTTGTCCCCTGGCCTGGTTGGCAAGGGGCTGACGCCTGGGTGAGGAACTGTGGTATGTGAGTGGGTTTGGGGTGAGGCTACAGGGAGGGCGGGGTGCCGCCTTGCCCAGCCTTTGAGGGCCCCAGCCCAGTATGTGATGGGGGGTTAAGGGAGCCTACCAGGGGTCTGAAGAGGCTGCTTGTGGGGTCTGTCCTGTATGCCCTGAAGGACTAGGACCTGGGCACCTGTCACCCCGGCACTGGCTGTCCAGGGCCGCCACCACCTTCCTCCCATCCCCTCCCCTCCCTTCCTTCTCCTGGTCCCACCTCCAGCCAGCCTCTCCCAGGGCTCCTCCTCACCTCTGTCCTCCTGGACTGCCCCAGTTCCTACCTTTCCTACCCCTCACCTTTTTCCCCTTTTAGGACAGTCAGGACAGGTGGGGGTGTGGGTAGGGACTATAGCACAGGGGCGCCTGGCCCCTCTCCCACGCTGCCAGCCGTCTAGTAACCCCTCCCTCCCAGCTGGGGGGAGGGGGGACAGCACCCAGAGGGTTAAGGCTCTGGGGGGAGGGGCTGGGCCAGGTCGTGGGCGGCCCCTTTGAAGGAGGGAGCTGGAGCAGCGGGGAACAGCCACCCCACCTCCCCCCAGCCTGGCCCTCCCCAACCCCTCCCAACCTGCTGCCCCCAGGGGCCAGGAGGAGTCGCCGACAAGGCCCCTCAGCTTTCAGGTGAGTAGGCCTGGACTCCGGCTCCAGCTGGGCTGCAGAGATCAGGCCCCAGGGGAGGCTCGGAGGCCTAAAGTTGGCCAAGGGTCAGAGGGAAGCAGGCCAGGACAAGGGTGCCCCCGCTGTGCCAGGGGAATTAAGGTGCTTCAGTGTTGGGGAGCCTTGGAGACCCAGCCCAGGGCAGGCTGCAGTAGGGTCCTGTAGAAGACGAGTGATTGCTGGGCTCAGCCAGGGGCTTGGCCAGGCTGGCAGGGAGCCGGGCTCCGGGGATCGGGCTGGGGTGTCCTCTGGGGCTGGTGGGGGGCTCAGGTTTCTGCCGGCGGCTTGGCAGGTGTGGGGTTACCAGCCGGCTCGGTTACCCAGCTTGAGAGACATTAGGCTGGGTGTGGGGGGGAGGGGGTGGGCACAGGGCAGACCCTGGCACCTTGTGCAGTCTCCACAGGCCCCATGGGGAGACGGCACTGCCCAGACAGAACTGACTGGCAGCCCTGTCGGCCAGGGGTCTGTCAGGGTCTGTCCCAGTGGACGGGTGGCTGGCCCCGGGATGGGCAACCTCTGGGGAAAGTCCAGCAGCAGCTCCCAGGCTGGAAACTCTGACGGGCAGGCAGGCCCAGGTTGTCCTCTCCACCCCACCCCACATCCGCTCTCACCGTGCACCCCCCAACCACCACTCATCCTCCACAAGCTGGCCCCCAAATTTTGCCTCCTTCTCCTCGCCCCTCTCGCTCCACTGCTTCATCTCGAAGTGGGGATGTGAGTGTCCGGAACACAACCATCTATCTTTTAGCAAGACCAGGCCTCGTGGAGGGCAGGCCCTGTGCTCCTGTGATCGAATTCCTCCGCACTTGCTTCCCCAGGCCTGCCTGGGACAAAGGTGAGAGAGGGATGCTGGGGTCAAGTGGAGGAAGTGGCAGAAGAGAAAGGAAAGGAGATGGGAAGGAGGCCTTGCCCGCGTGGGTAGGAACGTGAGAGTGGCCCAGGAGGGCCGAAGGACGGGAAGCCCGAGATGGGTCTTGTGGAGGAAGGATGACAGTCACTGACAACATGGAGGGACCAGAAGGGGCACTGAGAGGGAGAGTTGGCCAATGTGCTGAAACGGGGGGCATCCAAAGGTGGAAGGCAGGTCACTCTATTCCTTCCTCCGCCATCTTTACTCTCCCTCTTCTTTGAAGGGTCGGACCTGGGGCTGTGAAAGGGGGATATTTTGTGGCAGTGAGGTCTCCCTCTTTGGGAGTCCCGACACCAGGATTGGGGGATTTTTTTGGGGGGGGAGACTTAACCCCCACAGCACCGGGAAGCAGCCGACTCCCCTTGCCTCCTTCCCCCTTCGTGGCTTGCGGTCTCTCTTCCCCGCCTCGGCCCCCAGGAAGTGCGAGTACTGGGGGTGGTGAGGTTAGGAGGGGGGGGAAGCGTCACATGGGGGATGGGGAAGGCATGTGCAAGCTTGGAGGGGCTGGGGCAGGGAGCGAGGGCTCCCCCCCAGTGCCTTGGGCATCTCTGGACAGAGGAGCTGTCCTTTCCAAGCCCCTCCCAGTCCTCAAGTGTGGCCCAGTAACCTGCCTTCCCAACTCGGCAATGGAGATAGTTGTGTGGCCTCTGAACCCCAGGGGTCCTGGGAAGGGGTAAGGAACTAAGGAACAGGGATTCCCGAGTATGGCTCCCACCCCACCCCGCCACTCCCTCCCCAGGACCTGGGGACCAGTGTCCCAATTGTCTCCACTTCTCCTGGTCTAGCCACCAGGCCAGAATCCTAGCTTCATGCAAACATAGCTCCAAAAAAAAAAAAAAAAAAACAGGAAGAGAACCTGAGGCTGGAGTTGGGGTGGGGGTTGGGGGTAGAGAGGAGAAAGAAGTCACGGGGAGGGGTGGCCAACCAGCAAGGCGCCAGGAATGCTGGGAAGGGCCTCAGGTCTCTGTTCCTGGCCTCCCGATGTCCACACGGTCCTCAGCCTCCCTCATCCTTAGCGGCTGCTCCTGGAGATGCCAAGCCAGGCCCCTCTCAGGCTCCCTAGTAGAGCCTAGAGGTGGGGGCCTTGGAGCCTGAGGCTGGGGGTGGAGGGGGGCGCCCCAAGTGCCTGTGTCAAAGGCCTGTATCTATTTTCTCCTCTGCTAATCCTGGTTCCGCCTGCTGCCCCCCACACTAAGCCTCACTCCCCTAATCCCCAGGGTGGGGGGAAGGGGGACCAGCTTTGCTCAGCTGCCCCCATTCAGGGCCTCTGAGGCCTGTCCTTCAGCTGGCTCAAGCCCACAGTGTTGGCCCTGGGGCCCCCCAGCCCTACACTGGACACTGCCTGAGGTCAGCACCTGGAAGGAGTTCCACTCTCCTCTTCCTTGCCAAGTCAGGGCCAGTGCCCGCTGCCTTTTGATGTCCTGGTGGTGCTGGACACACCCTGGCAGGTGCTGCTGAACATGAGGGGTAGGTGATAGGGGCTCTTGCCTCTGCCCCCTCCCACTTTACTTACCTTAAAGTCTTCCTCCAGCTAAAGATGGGACAAGCTTGACTCAGGGCCCAGTTTCAAGAGAGCTGCCCACCGGCTTGGCCGGTCGAGCAGGCCTGACAGTGAGGGGAGCCTGGGGGTGTGTGTTGGGGGGAAGGTGGCGGGAAAGAGGGGAGCGAAGGGGTGGGGCCCCACTTCTTCCCCCTACCAGACAAACAGACCAAACAGACCTTGTCTGGTTCCCTGGCACAGCTAACCCCCACCACCACCACCCCTGCCAGCCACCATACACACCCATGCCCACAAGGTCTTAGCAAGAGGGGGCATGCCAGGCTGGGTGGGGATGGGCAGCCTTCATAGGGCATCAGGGGGCTGGGCTTTCTGGGATGCAGAGGGGTGGGAAGGGTGCCCAAGGCACCCTGGCACCAGGGGCCCACCCTGTCCGAAAGGGGAGGCCTCTACCCCAGCCTTCCTGAATGATGGGACTATGAGTGTCCCCTTGGCCTGGTTGGCAGCAACACAGCTCCAGGTGGCACCTCTGTTGGTATGGGAGCCAGAACCCTAGCTAAGGGCTAGGGGAGTTTCCCAGAAGCTGGGAGAATGGCATAAACACCCTCTCCTTCCCACGTGTGCCCTCTGCCTCTTCCCTCTTCTTCCTCACTACCTTTTGGCCATGGGCATTGGATTTGGGCCTAAGGGGTTAAACACCCACCCTTGCCCAAGCCCTGTGCGAGTTGCGTGGTGAACCAGCCTGAGCCTGTGACCTGACAGTGGGGTCAGCCAATCAGCTCCCCCGCCACACCAAGTTGCCACGGAGACCAGCCCTGGGGTGGGAGAAAGGAGGCGGGCTTAGCAGTGGGAATGGGTGGGGTGGGGTGGGGAGGGAAGGAGGGAGAGGGATAGGATGAGCCACGTGCCTCCGGGTGCCCAGCTGCCAGCCAATGGACACTGAGGACAGCCCCACCCACCCCCTTTAGTGGGCACAGGAAGGTGCCCACTGTTGTTTGAGTGGCAGCCTGGGCTGCCCACCTGGTTTCTCTGTTTGCTCCTGAGTCCTGGGTCCAGCAGTACAAGGACGAGAATCAGAGGGGGCAGTGAGAGACTGCAGGCGGCCCGGGGAGAGAAGGGGTTTAGGAACTCAGGGTGGGTCAAGGCTGCCTAGGTGTGGCTTGCAAGCAGACACAGAGGCAGACACATGTGGGAGCGGCTCTCTTAAGGCTTGGGTGCAGGAGCCCCATGCTGCCCTGAAGATGGCAGGTGCTGAGGCAGGCAGAGACAATGCAGTTCTTGTGTCCTAAAGAGGAAATTGGTGGACCTGGACTCCCCCGATTCCTCCCTCCCCTAAAATAAACTTCTTATGGTCAACGGGCTGAATGGGACAGTGACAGTGTCATTGGGACCTGTCCCAAACACCGTCCAGGCCACTCGGAGAGCAGAGATGAGGGACTGGCCTCTTCCAGAAAGGAAGTGACTTGGCCAAGGTCGAGGAGTCCTGGCCTGTTGGAGCTCTGGATCCCTCGGGGCTGTGTGTGAGGGAGGGAGGGAGGCAGATGTCCCAGAGGCCACCTGGGTAGTGGAATCTGCCCTTAGGCCAGGTCGAGACCAGAGTCCCTACTGCGCAAGGGCAGACATTGGCCATGCCTGGTCCCATTTAACCCTCCCAGCATCCCCAGGAGGCAGGTGGGGCTGTCCCAAGGGTTACAGATGGGGAAAGAGGTGCAGAGTTTTAGAGTCCCCGGGCAGCACAGGGAGCCCAGATTTTCTCAGGTTCCGTGGCTCCCTACCTCCCGGTGGCTCCAGACCCACAAAATGTCAGCGCTGCAGGGCTGAGTCCTTGGCATTTCCATTCCCACCCCCTCCTGGTACCGCGGAGAAAACTGCAGTAGAAAGAGAAAGGACTCGCCCAAGGTCATTCAGCAAGATAGCAACAGAGCCAGGCCAGAGAAGCAGGTCTTTCCATTGGCTCCCCCCCTACCACCACCACCACCACCATTGCCCCGGGGTGGGGGGAGGGGGCAAAGGGGCTGACCTGGCCCCTTCCTACCTTGGGACTGTTGGCTGCTCCAGGCCTTGGCAAGGAGGGGAGCCAGGAAGAGCAGGGCAGGTAGCACTGTGGCCCTCTTTCTGGAGAGGGACCGTCTGGGAATGGGGAGGGAGAGGTGGCAGTGGTGGCTGAGGGGGGAGGGGGAACCCTGGAACTTGCCTATTGGCAGTGGGGGAGGGGGGCAGGGGTGATGCTTATCTGTGCGGGGCAGGAAGCACACGCGCCAGCGACACCCCAGCAAAGGGTGGCTGCTCCTTGGCCCCCATGGGGGAGGGGAGGATGTGGGGGGAGGGATGCTGGGAGCTGCGTTTCCCGTTTGGTCTCTAGATCGGGGTATAGTGGGAGGGGGTGATTGAGAAGCCTGGGTGAATTTTTTGGTACCTTGGGGAGACAGAGTTTGTGGTTGGAAGCTACTGTTGCTCCCGGCTTGTGCACTCGCTCTCTCTTTCTCTCGCTCGCTCTCTCTCACATCCTGCTTCCAGGATGCTAATACTCTGGGACAGGAGCTGGAGGGGTACACACATCTAGCTGTGCAGGACCCTCAAGAGACGCTAGTCCAAGGTGAATCTGAACACTGGCTGGCTGGGGACAGGCTCTAGCTGCCAGCCTGTCACCCCACTGTTGAGAAGACTGAGGGCAGCTTCAGTGCATTCTGCAGGATACCCCAGCTTTTTCCCAGTCCAGTGCTTTCCCCAGAGCAAGTAGAGCACACAGAGCTCTAGGGAAGGAAGGGCCAGCGAGTTGGGGCTCCTGGCATCCCCTGCCTGGCTCAGAACTTTGCATACATATAACCTGCAGGGCCGGTGCGCCTGTCTGACCACTGTAGGGTCACTGTTGGTGAAGTCAATCTTGTTCGTACAGGGTGAGGGGAGTCGTGGAACAAGAAGTGGGTGGAAGGTACCCAGAAGGACCCCAGGCCCAGGGGACCCACTCTAGGTGACGTCAACCGTGGTTGGCACACCTGCTCCCAACACACCAGTAGAGCTGTCTTCATCTTGTGCTCTGCTTGCCCTCGCAGGAGAAGATGGGGAGCCCCGAGGATGACCTGATTGGAATCCCATTCCCGGACCACAGCAGTGAGCTGCTCAGCTGCCTCAATGAGCAGCGCCAGCTGGGCCATCTGTGTGACCTTACTATCCGGACGCAGGGCCTGGAGTACCGCACCCACAGGGCTGTGCTGGCCGCCTGCAGCCACTACTTCAAGAAGCTCTTCACTGAAGGTGGTGGTGGCAGCGGCACCGTGGTGGGAGCTGGGGGCAGCGGGACAGCTGCTGGAGGTGCGGGGGCTGGCGTGTGTGAGCTGGACTTTGTGGGGCCAGAGGCACTGGGTGCCCTGCTCGAGTTTGCCTACACAGCCACGCTGACAACCAGCAGTGCCAACATGCCAGCTGTGCTGCAAGCCGCCCGGCTGCTGGAGATCCCCTGTGTCATCGCCGCCTGCATGGAGATCCTGCAGGGCAGCGGCCTAGAAGCCCCTACCCCGGATGAGGATGACTGTGAGCGAGCCCGCCAGTACCTGGAGGCCTTTGCCACGGCCACGGCCACCTCGGCTCCTCCGGCCTCAGCCTCAGGAGTTCCCAACGGTGATGAAGAAAACAGCCCTTCCCAGGTGGCCCTCCCGCCACCACCACAGCCACCACCACCTCGGCCCGTCGCCCGTCGTAGCCGCAAGCCCCGAAAAGCATTCTTGCAAACCAAGGGGGCCCGGGCGAACCACCTTGTGCCCGAGGTGCCTGAAGTGCCTGTCCAGCCCATGACCTACGAGGAAGAGGAGGTGGCAGGCAGAGTGGGAGGCAGCGGAGGCAGCACGCTGGGAGAAAGCTACAGCCCTCCTCCCACAGGGGCTGCCTCACCTTCCGAGGGGCCCCTGGGCTATGAGGCTTACGAGGGTGAAGAAGAGGAGGAGGAGCTGGTCTACCCTCCAGCCTATGGGCTGCCGCAGGGGAGCGGCCCACCACTGTCCCCCGAAGAGTTGGGCTCAGATGAGGATGCCATCGACCCCGATCTGATGGCTTACCTGAGCTCCCTGCACCAGGATGCCCTGGCACCAGGCCTGGACGGCCAAGACAAGCTTGTGCGCAAACGCCGCTCGCAGATGCCCCAGGAGTGCCCGGTGTGCCACAAGATCATCCATGGGGCAGGCAAGCTGCCACGCCACATGAGGACCCACACAGGTGAAAAGCCCTTCGCCTGTGAGGTGTGCGGGGTCCGCTTCACCAGGTGAGCACCAAGCAGGGAGGGCCCACTTTACACCCCCTGCCCTATGCCGGTGGAAGGCATGGGGACACGGTAGAGGGACTGGGCTGGGTATGGTATTGAGGATAGAGATCAGAAGCAGGCAGAGCCAAGGGGAGCGGGTTGGGGGGGTGGGCAGTGGAGTGGGAGGAGTCAGCCAGGGTGAGGGTCAAGAGTAATGGCTGAGCTCCATCCTGAACCCTGCTTTCCCCTCTCTGCACCTGCCCGCCACAGGAACGACAAGCTAAAGATCCACATGCGGAAGCACACAGGAGAGCGCCCCTACTCGTGCCCACACTGCCCGGCCCGCTTCCTGCACAGCTACGACCTCAAGAACCACATGCACCTGCACACAGGGGACCGGCCCTATGAGTGCCACCTGTGCCACAAGGCTTTCGCCAAGGAGGACCACCTGCAGCGCCACCTCAAGGGCCAGAACTGCCTGGAGGTGCGCACGCGCCGCCGCCGCAAGGACGACGCGCCGCCCCACTACCCACCGCCCTCTGCGTCGGCCCCCTCCCCTGCTGGCCTCGACCTCTCCAATGGCCACTTGGACACCTTCCGCCTCTCTCTGGCGCGATTCTGGGAGCAGTCGGCCCCTACGGGGCCCCCAGCCTCCACCCCAGGGCCCCCTGATGACGAGGAGGAGGAGGGGGCACCCGCCACACCCCAGGCCGAAGGTGCCATGGAGTCCTCTTAGAGAGGGACCAGTGGCCAGGCTGGCACAGCACAAGGTTGGGAGGGGTGGGGGGCACCCATGCCAAGCAGTGGGAGCATGCATGTGGGACAGACAGAGCTGCCGGCCAGCGTGGGCACCGAGCCTGGCTCGTGGGTCCCGGAGCCCTCATTCCAGTTGTGCACTGAGGTCTTGGGGAGAAGCGGGCAGGCAGAGAGAGGCTCCCCGGCTGGGGGCAACTCCCCCTCAGGAGTGATCCAAATGCTAGCACAGCTCTGTGGTGGCAGTGGGCTCCCTGCGCCCCAGCTGCTCCCTGAGCAGTACAAGCAATAATGTATTTGATTTGTGGGGGGGTCCCACTTTCGGCTATGCGGGTTTCTAGGGGGTGGAGGCTTGGGACCACATTGCCCCCCTATTCCCATTGCCCCCTTCTCTCCCAAGACCCCTCCTTCCTGGTTTCTGTTCTCTTTTCCTGGCAATGAATTCTGCAAAAGCGGGAGGTGGCGAAGGAAGAAGCGTAGGTGAGGGGAAGCAAGGTGGAATCTCAAGGGTCGGGGTACTGGGCCTGTAAGGAAGGAGCCATCCCAGGCCCCTCCGCCCTGCTCCCTGCGCTGAGTCATGGGGTCCTGGAGAAGGGGGCGGGGTGGCCTGGTTGGCTCGCCCGCCCCTGGGGGCAGCGGGAGGGGCCCCGCCCAGCCAGGGGAGCAGCTCCGCGCCCCTCCCCGCCCCTCCCCTCGCGTCCCCGGGCAGGGAATGTCTTGTTCCCGCCGCTCCCTCCCTGGGGCCAGAGGGCAGGGCGGGCCGGGCGGGCGTCTTACCCTCCTCTCCTCCTCCCCTACCTCCTCCCCGCCCAGGTGCGAGCCGGAGCCGCCGCCGCTGCCGCCACCACCGCCGCCGCTGCCGCCCCTGACTCACGCCGCCCCCGGGCTGGCGGGGCGCTGGGTGTGGGACGGGGTGAGGGGTTGGGGGGAGCCTTGCGGAGAGCGGGCGAGCCGGCGCCCTCTGGCGGCCGTGCCCTGCGCGGGCGAGCGCCCCCGGCGGCCTCCGACCCGTGCCAAGCAGTGGCTCCCGGGAAAGTGGCCTGCAGATCTGTGGTGGGGAGAAAGCCGCTTCCCACCGTCTTCCCTTTCGGGCGTGGAAGACTCGTGCCCACCCTCTCTGAGGAGTGAATCCACCCCCTCTGTACATAGCCTCTTCTGTTGGTCTCGTTGAAATCTAGTCTCAGATTTTTAACTACCCAACTCTGCTGGGAGGTGGGGGAGCATCTCCCCCACCCCTTTCCTCGCTGGGTGCTGGACCCCGTTGCGGCCTGGGCTCTGCCTTGCACTATTCCCCCCTCCCTGGCCTGGCGGTCCCTCCCCCTCCTCCAAGGGGCAGGTTCAGGGGCCCGGTGCTCTTTCCCTCTCCCTCCCGTGTACCCCCATGCCCATTTGCACAGCTGCCCAGGTACCCCCTACCGTGGGTAGGGGTCACAGGGAGGGGGTAGCGGGACCAGTCCCTGTATCTATTTAAAAAGTGATGATGTAATATATTGGGGTGGGAGGAGGTCGGGTCACCCTGGGCCTCATCTTAGCATTTCAGGTGATGGGGCAGCCCCAGGCCAGGGAGACCTGGGGCATGGCCCCAGAGTGGGGACAGTGTGGCCTCCCCTCTCCCTACCTGTGGCTTTCCCAATCAGTGCCTTAGGGGGGGAGGTGTTTCTCCCCCTCTCCTGTTCCTTCCCCTCCCCCCACCCGTACCCCCCACCTCGGGTGTAAGCAACAGGATGAAATAATAATAATTTAAGATTCACACTTGTGTCCACTTTTGGTTCCTTTATTGGAGGGATCCGGGAGAGGTGGGAGATGCAATGACTGGGGGTTCTGAAGTGGAGGAGACTGCTTTGAGGGTTGTGGGCTTCTGCACTGCTCTCGGGGGCTCAGGAGCTGTGGGGAGGCTTGTGGGATGCTGGCCTTCTAGGAGAGGCTGCTGCCAGTGTCGCCTCTGCCGAGGCCCCTGCCCCTCCTCCCGGTCACTAGAGAGAGGAGGAGAGCACAGCCCAGTCACCATGGCCCTGTTTTCACAGGTGCACTCCTGCCCTCGCCCAGGCCCAGGTAGAGCACACACAGCACCCTGGGGCTCTTGAGGTAACCTGCTGGTTTGGGGTGGTGCTGAGGCCACACAGCTGGGAAAGGTACAAGTTGCCCGTGGTGAGCTCTGCCAATAGGGCTTCAGTGGGCCCTGCTAGTTGCTTCTCCTTTGGCGTCCATCGCCCTAGAATGTTCCTGCTGCACAGTTTTCTAGGCAGCCCTTGTATACTGGTGGTGGCTTCCCCACCTCACTGCCAGCCAGGCCTTGGTGTGTGTCAGAGCTTCTGGCTAGCACCGCAGCACTGTCTTTCCAGTCCTCCCAGATGTTCAGTTGCAGCCACCTGAGCTGGCCACCTGCTGGCCCAGCTACCTCCCTGGCTGCCTGAGCACACAACCACCTTTGGCCTGTCCTTCCTTAACCTCCTTGCCCTAGAAACCTTCATCAATGACCCTTCCAATCCCCTTACCACCACCCCATCTTCTGTTCCTTGGCCACTCATAGGCTTTCTTCACAGTACTTGCCTGACCATGGCGGTGACTGAGGCCCACCTACTCCCCCAGCCCCTTCCCTGCCAAAAGAGCCTTCCTGCCCTCACCTCCCTTCCCCCCGCAGACCACTGCCTCTTGTTCTAACATCTTGCATCAGGGTCCAAACCTCAGCTAGACTGGCCCTGGCCAGCTGCTGCTCCTCCCCCAGGCCAGTCATCTTAGATACTACTTCTTTTCCCACTTTGTCCTTCCCCTGAGCTGCCCAGAACTCGCCAGCAGCCCTCAAATCCCATCCTCAGCTGTCACGCTGGCCAGAAAGAACCACAGAACCAAGTGCGTGCAGTGGCCGCTCGTGGTTGTCACCATTGCTAGGGCCTCCGCCGCCACCTGGAAATCCCTCGGTCTCCCCCACAGGCTTCTCTGCTCGCCCCGCAGCAGATATTTCCGCCTTCGCCACCCACTCCTGGAAACCTTTATTCCACTCCCAACCACCCCCTGTGCTGTCCCAGCAGGTGCCCCGGCCTCCTACGCCCGTGAGAAAAAGCAAGGCCACCAAGCTGCAGCAGGCTCAACTCTGCACACAGGAACCTGGATCTCCACTCCTGCCTCAGGCCAGCCAGCTGATCTCTAAAGCCACCCTGTCCATCCGGCCCCGGAGGCCAGACCTCTGCCTCGATCTTCTGATCTTGAGATGGAGACAAAGCTTTCAGGGGCAGGCATTTGGCCCACCTGTTGAGGTGCTGCTTGGGATGCCTATATCCCTACTGTATTGCCTGGGTTTGAGTCCCAGCTCCACTTTGCCATGATGCACCCTAGAAGGTGGCAAGTAATGGCTCAAGTACTTGGATCTCTGCCTTCCTCCCCGCCCCCCTGACATGAGAGCCTTATGCTGAGTTCTCTTCTAGCTTTGGTCTACCTCAGCCCTAGCGTGAGCATTGTAGAAGTGAGCCAGCAAGCAGAATGTACCTCTGGTTTTTTTTTTTTTTCAAATAAATGAAATAAAAATGTAAAGATAAAATATCTTTTAGGACCCAGCACAATGGCTCAACTGCCTAATCCTCCCCTTTCAAGTGCCAGGATCCCATATGGTGCCAGTTTGTGCTCCAGCTGTCCCACTTCCCTTCCAGGACCCTGCTTATGGACTGGGAAAGCAGCAGAGGGTGGCTCAAGTCCTTGGGACCCTGCACCTGCGTGGGAGACCCAGGAGAAGGTCCTGGCTTCAGTTCGGCTCCTACCTTTGGATCAGTTCAGTTGTGGCCATTGGGACCACTTGAGAAGTGAGCCAATGGATGGAAATTGTTTTTCAGTTTCTTCTCTCTGTAAATCACCATTTCCAATGAAAATAAATATTGCAAAGGCAGATGTAAAGAGAAAAGGAGAGACAGAGAGGAAGAGATCTTCCATCCCCAAATGGCATCAATGGCTGATCCAAAGCCAGGAGCAAAGAGCTTCTTCCATTTCTCCCACATGGGTTCAGGGCCCTAAGGCTTTGGGCCATCCACTAATGCTTTCCCAGGCCACAAGCAGGGAGCAGAATGTGGGGCAGCTGGGACTAGAACCAGTGCCCTTATGGGAGGCTGGTGCTTGAAAGTGGAGGTAGCCCATTGAGTCACAGCACCAACCCCAAAAGTAAATATTGACAAAAGTGTCTTAGTGCTGGGCCCCTCCAAGTTCCTCTCACTAGTATGAGGCTAATTCCCTCCTCTTCGTTCACAAGCTCCTCCTCCTCTTTTTAAAAAAAGACTTATTTGAAAGAGTAACAGAGAGGGAGAGATAAAGGGAGATCTTGATTCACTACTTCACTATCCACACGGCCACAAACTCACGGGCTAGGCTTGGCTGAAGCCAGGAGCCAGGGACTCCATACGGGTCTCCCAAGTGGGTGCTCAAGCACTGGGGCCACTTTCTGCTACTTTCGCAGGCACATTAGCAGGCAACTGGACAGGAAGCAGAATGCTCTGACATGAGCTGCTGATGTCACAAGAAACAGCTGAATCCACTGCACCACAAATCCAGCCCTGTTTTCTGGGTCCTCTGTGCTATGTACTCCTCACCCCACCATGGTCTGGCTCTGGCCTTAAAAAACATTTCCCAAGGAGGAGGTGTTTAGCCTAGTAGCTAAGATGCCTGGAGAACCGGGGTTTGAAATGAGCTTCTCGACCCTAGCATCTCGCCAGTGTAGGCCTAGGAGGCAGTGCTGGTGGTTCAAGTCATTAGGTCCCTGAAGTCCCTAAAAGACACCTGGGTTTTGAGGTTGTGTGTGTGTGTGTGTTTTAAAGCTTATTTATCCAAAAGGCAGAGTGATGGGGAGAGAGATTTTCCATTGGCTTGTTGACTTCCCAGATGCCACACACGTGGGACTGGGACTGGGCCAGACTGAAGCCAGAAGCCAGGAACTCCATCCAGATACCTCATGTGGGTGGCAGGGATCCAAATGCATGAGCTGTCACCTGTTGCCTCCCAGGATGTGCAACAGTAGGAAGCCAGATTGGAAGTGAAGGCAGGACTCTATCACAAGCACTCCAATATGGGGTGTAGTGACTTAAACATCCACACCACAGCACCCTCCCTGAAGCATCTGCATCGGGTACCAAAGCTCCCAGTTTTAGTCCCAGCCCAGCTCCAACTCTTGCAGGCATACCAGGAATGAGCCAGCAGGTGGAAATGAGCTCGTTCTCTCCTCAGTCAAATCAATGAATAGTTTTAAAATGCCCCCGCCCCAGTGCTCTGTCCTTTGCTGGACACAGTGATCAGCCTCCAGTCCCGCTTGCACTTGACTGTTCTCATGGTTCTTGCATGTGTGACATTCCTGCTTCCTTGAGCCTCCTTTCTCCTTGGTTTGTGATTGAGCTCCCCCAGGGTTCTGTCCCATCCCCCAAGCCTTGCTCCTGCCATAACCCCCTGCCCTCAGGATGATCTAGTTCTTTCTCTAAGTCAACAACCACCTCCAAACACACCTACGACCCAGAGCCCTGCCCCCGGGCATCTGCAGCTGGCTGCCCTGTGGAGACCTCAGAGATCTCCAATCGGGCCGTCGTCTTTCCCAGAACCGACTCTGCCCTAATGTTTGCCTGACCCAAGCACAGAAACCCAGACTGTGCTCAGTGCCCGGGGTGCCTGTGGCCATCACCGACTAGATTCTCAGGCTAGAAGAGAGACCCGTCCTCTCGGTTTCCTGCTCTGGCCAGCCGGGGTTCTGTCGTGTTGGTTTGTGGCACAGGCAAATGCGGCTCTTCCAAGCCTAGGGTCTTCAGATGGCCAAGGGGGCACTGACCCACGTCTCTGCAAGCTCTACTTCCAAGTCCTCCTCCCAGCCCGGCCCGAGTTTCCACCCAGATGGCAGGCATGGCCTGGCTTGGCCTAGCTGTGTGTCTTTATTTACCCTTCTGAATGTCTCACATTCTCCAGGCCTCTTTGGAATACTTCCCTGGTTTCTCAGTCCTACAAGCTACCAGCCTGCCCCAAACCCGCTGCCTTTGCCACCTTTCCCGATGGCTTCATGTACCCCGCATCCTACTAGAATGTGTTTCGCCTCTCCTGGACTGTCCCCGCATCCCACGTTGTGACCTGGATGATGTCACTGCTCCCCAGCGCTCTGCCAGCTTGAGCTCCTTCCCTCCCCTCATCTCCAACTGCCTCCACTCCAAGCCCACGTGATCTGACAGCCTCCCAGGGCCAGCTCCTGCTGCTGGCAGCTCACCTGGACTCTGTGGAGCTGGAGTCCCCTGCAAGGCCTCCTCCGAATGCTTCCTGGAGCTGTTGCCGTAGCCACCGCTCCTGCTCAGGGTCCTTCCTCCCAGCAGCAGCCAGCCAGAGCCGGGGGCCCTCCTCATCGCTGGAGTCCCTGTGAAAACCTGGGGACTCAATGACCACCCGTCAGTGTCTGGAGTGGAAGTATGCGGGAAGAGAAGGGGTGGCTCCTCTCACTGCTCGTAAGGATTCCATCCAGCCACCCCACCCTGTCAGAGGACTCACAGCTCCAGGTCCAGGTCCCCTTGGTAGGAGAGGGGAGCTGTGCACACAGAACAGGTGTTGTCCAGCAGGCGGTAGCAGGTGTGGCAGTAGAGGCCTGAGTGGGGGAGCCCAGAAGCTGCAGCTTGCCCATCCCGCTGTGCGCCCTGGCTCCTAGCCCCTCCTCCTGTGGGCACCTACGCAAGGGAGGATCCTAACCAAGTGGCAGGCACAAAGAGGAAGCTGTCTGCTAAAAGGGCCTGTCCACTCCTGGAAGAGGTGGGCAGCAGGGAGGGAAGAGAAAAGCCCCCCGCCCTGGGTGCTGAGACTGCAAAACAATGTGGGGAAGGCCATTCTCATCCACCGGAGAGGGGTCCCCTTCCCAGCAATCTCACCGCGGCACCCCGGGGTGCTGCAGGAAATAAAGTTTTCCATGTCCTCTTCACCCTGGGGCTGCCCACAGCCCATACAGTGCATCTGCTGCCGCCGGTAGTGATTGGCAATCGGACTAAGGCAGGGGCACCTGAGGAGCAGGTGGCGGACACTAAGCTAACCAGCCCATCAGCCTCACCCTCCTTGCAATCTAACCCCTGGCCCTCTGACTGCCATGGAGCCCTTTCTCCCTTTATTCCCCACCCTAAAAATACTCATCCTGGGGCTGGTACTAGGGTACAGCAAGTTAAGCCTCTGCCTGGGTACTGGCATGCTATATAGGCACTGGTTTGAATCCCAGTGCTCCACTGCAGCTCCACAAGCTCCCTGCTTGTGGCCTGGGAAAGCAGTCGAGGATGGTCTAAAACTTTGGGACCCTGCACCCATGTGGGAGACCCAGAAGAAGCTCCTGGCTGTTGTAGCTATTTGGGGAGTGAATCAGCAGAAGGAAGATCTCTCTGCGAAAGAGAGAAAGAAAGAGAGAAAGAGAGAAAGAGAGAAAGAGAAAGAGAAAGAGAGAGAGAGAGAGAGAGAGAGAAAGAAAGAAAGAAAGAAAGAAAGAAAGAAAGAAAGAAAGAAAGAAAGAAAGAAAGGAAGGAAGGAAGGAAGGAAGGAAGGAAGGAAGGAAGGAAGGAAGGAAGGAAGAAAGAAAGAAAGGAAGAGAGAAAGAAGGCCCGGCGCGGTGGTGCAGTGGTTAAAGGTCCTTGCCTTGCACGCCCGGGATCCCATATGGGCGCCAGTTCTAATCCCGGCAGCCCCGCTTTCCTTTCAGCTCCCTGCCTGTGGCCCAGGAAAGCAGTCGAGGACGGCCCAAAGCTTTGGGACCCTGCACCCGCGTGGGAGACCCGGAAGAGGCTCCTGGCTTCGGATCGGCATAGCATTGGGCCGTTGCGCTCACTTGGGGAGTGAATCATCGGATGGAAGATCTTCCTCTCTGTCTCTCCTCTCTGTATATACGCCTTTCCAATGAAAAAATAACAAAAATAAATCTTAAAAAAAAAAGAAAGAAAGAAGGGAAGGAAGGAAGGAAGGAAAGAAAGAAAAGAAAGAGAAAAAGAAAAGTTCTTATCCTGCAATCTCCCTCTCCCGGGCGTGACTAGCAAGCAGGGACCGTCGTCAACGCATGCCCTCCTGACACTGAGGGCAAATGTTGATCCACTCCGATCCCTGGCTCTTCTGTCTGCTCTCCCCTCACCCCTGCAGGAAAGGGGCAGTGGGCTCACCAGTTGGCCAGCACTTGCAGCGTGCTGACATAGCCCTGGTCAGCCGCACGCCGTCTGACTGTGCGACGCAGGGCATCCAGCAGGTTGGTCCGGCGGCTCAAAAGCATGTTGTAGAGATAGACAATCCTTTCCTGGGGGTGGGGGAGGCTGGGGATAGCAGATAGCATACTCTGTCCTTTCCCTCCTTCCAATCCTTATGAATCTCTTGAGGCCTGGCTCTGGCACCACTTCCTCCAGGAAGCCCTAATGATTTCCCCAGGTGGAGCGACCCACTCTCTGCTCTGGGTTGCAGCCTTGAGACTATGTCTAGCTCAGCCTGGCGTCCTGAGATGAGCACAGTGATGGGTACCCAGGGGGTGGTCAGGTAGTGAGCAGTCCCCATTCACATCTCAACACGCAGACACAGCCTCCAGACCCACAACATTTGGAGCAAGCTCCAGCTCAGGAAGCCCTGGCCTCACAAGGCACCATTTCTCCCAGTCAGCCTGCACCTGGGGCCTGATCACCTATAGTGCAGGTGACTCGCTATGGAATTTCCAGCCCAGGAGAGAGGCCCGGGGGGTGCTACTGACTGAAGGGTTCTGAGCTCCCCAAATCAAGGCCACCAGCCAGAAGCTCGGCCTACCCCACCCTACGGGCGGAGGGGGCAAGGTCAAGGGCTCTGACTCCCGTGGAGGCCTCACCTGCTCCCGGGAGGGGTAATAGGAGGCACAGATGACCCGCCGCAGCCGACTGACGTAGTGGCCAAACAGAGTGACAAAGAAGCACAGGCCATACATGGTGCCTGGAAACACACAAGCTTGGAGCCTGGCCCCAGCCCTGGCCCCACAGCCCTGTGGGCCCCGGGGCACCCTCAGGGGCATGGCAGATACCGATGGCAATGTAACCAGAGGTGTCCGGTTCCGAGGGCTGCAGCAGGCAGCGTCGGGACAAGATGCTAACGTTGCTTTGTTGGAGGACGTCAAAGGCTGACACCAGGTCACGGAATATGCTGCTGGTATAACCAGCTCCCTCCACGTTGATGGTCAGCAGCACAGGGCCTAGCACAGGGAACACCATGTTAGGGTTACCCATGGAAGGTGCTGGCTCCACCGTATGGGAGAGCAGCCAGGATACTCCACCTCCATATCCAACCAAATTGATGACTCCTTCAAAGTCCCCAGCACCGTGCCCTGTGGCCCCTCAGTCCAGCAGGGCCACCTGCCCAGGCTACCAGGTCTGAGATGACCTTAGCAGTTCATAAGTCAACCCCTTTTCCTCCATGACCACCCAGAAATACTGTTATTTTAAATTTGTTTGGGAGACAGAGGGACAGAGAAAATTTCCATTTATTGGTTCACCGTTCAAAAGCCTGCAACAACCAGAGCTGGGCTGGGCTGGAGCCAGACCTCCAGAATTCGTCTTCCCATGTGGGTGGCAGAGACCCTGGCACTTGAGCCATCACCTGCCGCTGCCCAGGGTGCGTATTAGCGGGAAGCTGGAATGGAAGCAGAGCTAGGACTTGAACCCAGGTGCTCTGATTGAGGCACAGGTATCCTGAACAACATCTTAACCACTCCAGCAGACACTGATTTGGAATTTTGGCCTGGGCATACACCACCACAGACCCGGGACTCAGCACTTGGTTGTTAGGGGTGTTTTTGTGTTTCTCGGTCGTCCTGCTGGGGCTGTAGAACACAGAGAGTCATTCTCTCCCTTGGCTAGTGGCCCTGGTCAGCAGTCTAGCAGGCGCTTGACACATACAATTTACCTTTCTCCTTACAGCACCCCACAGAAGTGGTGACTGTGGGGATCCCTGAGTTGGGATGTAGAACCCTGTGTGCCTCTCTGCAAGCCACCAACTGATAGGGGACTGAGCTGGGACACAAACCCAGGCCAGTGGGAGCTTGTGTCTTGACTCTGTGGTGTTGTAACCTTGAGCTGGACATGGGCATTAGCAGGCAGCAGACAGGCTGACAGAAGGGAACAGTCAAGGACATGCGGACAGCAGGCAACCCTCAGGAGTAAAGGTGGGACTGAGGGAAAGCCCTGGGTGTGGCCAGGCAGGCACAGATGGCGCAGGTGCTCACTGCGGGCCACGATTTCTCCCTGAAGCTGGTACCGGGCCAGGTCGAGCACCCAAAAGACAGCGTAGTCCAGGAAGACAAGCAACATCACCAGGAGGAGGTGCCGCATGAGGTTGAAGATCTCCAGGATGTAAAACACCTGCTCCCAGCGGGTCAGGATGATGGAGCCTGCATGGGCTGGGCTACTCAGGAGGCTGTTCCCCAACTCTCCTTCCCTGACCAGACCCCAGCTTGTGTCCCTGCCTGGGCTTGCTCATGCACTAGGAAGAGGGAAAAGAGAGGCAGCTGGGAGGCCCCTGGGACAGACAGGACTGGAAAGCACCTCACAGGGGAAAGGGGGGCCTGTGGCTACAGGTGCAGGTCTGGCGTCTCCACCTGGGCACCCCCAACACCAGGAACCCTCCCTCCTGGGTGTGTCCCCTCCCTGTCCAGAGTCCCCCAGCTTCTCTGCATCCCACCCCCAAATCCACATCCATCCCCTGCCTGTACTCCCGGCAGCCCTGGCTTTCAGCCCCTGCCCTGACTCCTGAGGGCTCCCCAAGGACAGGGTCAGGGCTTCCCACCCTCAAGGCCTGAGGTGCTCTCAGGTTCCAGCACAGGCCTCGGGGTGTGGGGCTGGGGGCAGCTCACCCGGTTGGATGTAGCGTCCAGCCTCATGAGCAGTGAGCGGCAGCACTGTGGGCAGCCCTGCCATGGAATGCATGGCCTCCATACGCAGGAACCGCTTGGTGATGTAGACATTGTCAAAGTCATCCCAGTTCAGATAACCGTAGCGGTAGTACAGGGCCCTAGGGAGAGGGGGGCATCCTGAGTGGCTCTTCTCCCCACTACCACATTCTGGGGGTGCCTGTGGCAGCCCTGGCCAACACTCACTGCAGGTAGAGGAATGTGATCAGCAGGGGCATGGTGAAACCCATCAGCGACAGCACCTCCCGCACACTGTACAGCTTCAGGCTCACGGCCTCACGCAGGTCCAGGGCCACCTGCGACAGGCTCCGTGAGGCATTGAGGTCCACGGAGAAGTAGTGGGTGGTTGTCATGTTAAATTCAAATTCCTTCCGCACCCGGTTGATGAGCTGCATCACAGCTGGGGCCGACAGGCAGGGGTGAGCCGGGAGAGAGCCGGGAGCCAGCAGAAGTGTCCCTGGGGGCAGCCAGAACCCCCACCCCTACTCCCTACCCCCTACCCCCAGAATTTCCATAAGGGAGTGTGGCCTTGAGCCCAACATGCAGCAGCAGTGGCCTCAGGGACCTGTGCCAGGGGTGGGAGATGGAGACCCTGCTCCATAGCAGTCCAGTTTTGTTGAGCCACCCCACCCTGGTTGAACTAGGGTTTCTCGTCTGGACCACTGTGGGGACGTTGGACTGTAGCTTCTTGGCAGTACTTTCTGGGGCAGATAGGAGCACTCAGGGCTGGTGGTGGTGGAGAAGGGGGGAGCCCCTGGGGTGCTGCCTGTGGCTTGCTCACGGGTACGGATGGTCTTGCGCAAGAAGGTCTGGATGGCACTGGGGATGACGCAGAACACCTGCACCACTGAGCACAGGCAGCAACCCAGTCAGCGGTGGGGACCCTCGCCCACAGGCCCTCTTCTCACGGAGCCTGCTGGTCCCTGTCTGGCTGTCTTGAGGCAGTGGTGAGGGTGTGTGTGTTTGTGTTGGAAAGGGGCATCACAGCAGGGCTCCCCTGCTCCAGTCCCAGCCTCCTTACTAGCTCCCCCTTCAGCCCCTCCCCAGCCAAGCCCCATTCCCGCTCACAGCTGGCAAGTCCACAGAGGACCAGCTTAAAGGGCATGAGCACGTAGCACAGGTGGTAGGCACGGGGTATGATCGTCATGCATTTGTCCTTGGCGTTGTCGAAGACCTGTGCGCATTTGGAGTACGGGTTGCCCAGCTCCGAGTTGCACACATCACCGATGTGCAACAGCCAGTACCATACGTTGCGTAGAGCCCTGACTGGGACAACCAGGGAGTGGGGAGGATAGACTGGCATCCCAGGGCTGCGGGCACCAGAACACGCCAGAACACACCAGAGCACACTGTGGCTATGGCATGGCAGGACCCAGGATGGGTGAAGGACACATGCCTTCTGTACCCCAGCCCTACACCCTGCACCCCCTGCCAGCAGGAAGGGGCCACCCAGAGCTGCTTGACTGCTCACCCACGTGCTTCACACCATCCATGATCGACCGGAAGAACTTGCGCACCCGGTCAGCCACCACTTTGGCCCGCCGGGCAATGGCTTTAATCTTATTCAGGGCACCTGGAGGTATAGCAGAGCACAGGGGCAGGTGCTGTCCTCTGAGAGCAGGGGCTGTCCCCCCAGGGCACTGGGGTCTGGGGGCTGTGGAGCTGTGTTCATCTGGCAGAGGGAGGAGGCCAGGGACCAGGAATGTCAGGAATGTCAGGGCAGGGGATAGGGCGGGGGGACAGAACAGGGATGCAGAGTAAGTGGGGCCCAAAGCTGCATTTCCAAGCCCAGAAACTCTACAAGCAATGGGGTCAGCAGGCCTTAGGAAGGCCGATCATAGGACAAGGTGCACGCTGGCCAGTGGGAGACAAGGCGGCTCTTACTGACAAGGGGCTGCTTGGCCCTCTGCAACATCTCGGCGGTCTGGTTCAAGGCCAGCTCTGCCCCGCAGGCCACAGCCTCGCTGGCCTGGCTGAAGTTGTGCAGGGTGTTGGCACAAGGCCCCTGGAGCACCAGTCCAAAGGCAGCCACCAGCAGGAGCATCCGGCCCTGCCCTGGGAGGAGTTAGAGATGCCATTGACACCAGGGACCCTCTCCCCTGCCATTCCCACCCAGTAGTTTTGTAGCCTGCCCTCACTCCCCGTGGGGTGCCAGACTCACTGGAGAAGGCCTGGGGCAGCAAGAGCAGGACAGTAGCTCGGACCTGGCGGGAGAAAGCCATGCCCAGGCTGAGGAAGGCAGCCATGGTGAGGGTTCCCACCAGGCAGCCCCAGGGGCTCAGCCCCTCCACCAGAAGCTCCAGGAGCCCATAGATCGTGGCCAGGGTCAGGCCCAGGGTGAAGCCCCCGGTGCTGCGGACCACATCCCGTGCCAGGCTGGGCTCCTGGACCACCCAGGAGTACGTGGCGTCCTTCTTGGCTTTGGGCATGGCTGCAAGGGCCAAGGGTAGCTGTGCCCCCGTCTCCAAGAGAGACTCTGGGGCTGCCTGGAATGTTGCGCCACATTCCAGGGTTCCGGTGGGGCTTGTAGTACACCGCTGCCCTGGGAACCCCCAAGCCAGTTCTGAGGCTCAGAGTTGAAGGGGAACAGGTGAAATTCTCATCTCCTTCCCCTATCTCAGAGCCAAGACGGAGGTGCAAAGGTGCAGATCTCACTACTGCATCTCACCAGAGCCTCGCGATTGAGTCTGTCCTCGGGCAGACTTTGGAGCTGAGAAAGGGCTCCCCGGGACAGACACATGGACACTGACCATCCACAGAAGGGAGCTTGGCGGCCGAGAAAGAAGCTGCCTCACACCAGTGCGTCCACCCCAGTCCCTGCCCTCCAGGAACCCCCTGCCATTGTCTCAGGGTACCCCGTCTTCCATCCTTCCTGCCCAGTACTCCCCTCCAACCCAATTCTCTCCTTTTCACTCCTTCACACCTGCACCACACCCCAGGGGTCCCTCATCCCCCTGTCCAGCTTCCCTACCAGCCCTACCAGCCCCAATCCACTACTGCTCAGCACCCCAGCACCAACGATGGGCTGCTGATGCAGCTATGTCACCTCCCCCCAAGCCATGCACAGGCTCCTGAACTGGGGGCTGCCAGGCCCCTGTGGCCGGTTCCTGTGGCGTCAGCCTGGCGAGTTCCCTGTGACCACCTTCCTGCTGGGGGCAGGCACCGGGGGGCTCCTGGCTGTAGGTGAGTATGGAAGCAGAAGGCCAGGGCTGGGCAGGGGCTGGGCAGGAGGGCTGGGCATGGACTGGGCATGGGCTGGGCAGGGCTGGGCATGGACTGGGCATGGGCTAAGTAGGGCTGGGCACGGGCTGGGTAGGGCTGGGCAGGGGGGCTGGGCACAGGGACTGGGCAGGGCTGGGCAGGACTGAGCAGGACTTGGCAGAGGCAGGGCAGGGTTGGCAGGGGCTGTGTCATCTCTGGACCTGTAACTTGACCCTGTGCTCTCAGGCCTCTTCCAGCTCTTGGTGAACCCTGTGAACATTTACGAGGAGGAGAAGATGGTAATACTGTACAGCATGGTAGGTGAGTGCTGGGCCAAGGCCAGCTGGCGTCTGACCTATCGCCCTCTTGAGGGGGGACGATCCAAGGAGAGGAAGCCCCTCCTCGCTTAAGAAGCAAAACACAGTTCTCGCTTCTCCAAGGATGTCTCCCCCCCACAACCCACGTGATGTGCTTCTAATCCCCACCACCCTCCTCTCTGGGCTTCTACAAGTTGAGTACTCAGGGAAGGCTTCTTGGAGAAGGCATCTAAATGGAGACTTTATATCATTAGGTGTTGGGCTGCGAGAGCAGAAAGCCCACTTCACGTAGTTGAACCATCGAGAAAGCTGATTAGCTCAAGTAGCAAACAGGTTCAAGGTCAAATGTTCTCGGAGTCTGGATCAGCCAGCAGCTCAGTAACCCCTGCAAGGTCCCAGGCTCCTTTTGGCTTTTTGGTCTAGCAGCCTGAGCCACAAGACGGCTGTAACTACTCCAGGCATCACTCCTTCATGTAGCAACATGAAAGACCACATCCTTCTTTTTAAAATTTATTTTTACTGGAAAGGCAGATTTACAGAGAGGAGAAAAAACAGAGAGAAAAATCCATAGATTGGCTTACTACCCAGATGATCACATTGGCCAGAGCTGAGTCTATCTGAAGCCAAGGAGCTAGGAGACTCTTCTGGGTTTCCCACGCAGGTGCAGGGTCCCAAGGCTTTGGATCATCCTCAACTGCTTTCCCAACTCACAGGCAGGGAGCTGGAAGGGAAGTGGAACAACCAGAACACAAACCAGTGCACATATACGATGCCAGCACTTTTAGGATTAGCCACTTGAGTCATTGCCCCGGCCCGACCACATCCTTTTTTAGCAATACGGAAAACTTCCTGTAATCTCCCCCAGTAGACTCTCTCTCACATCTCTTTGGCCAAAACTGCAACATGGGGGTCGATACTGTGGTTCAGCCCGTTGAGCCACTGCCTTGTAACATTACATCCTCTATGAGCACCGGTTCAAGTCCAGGCTACTCTGCCTTTGACCCAGTTCAGTTTCCTGCTAAGGTACCTGGTACAGCAGCACAGCGTGGCCTGAGTACGTAGAGTCCTGTTAGCCACTTGGGAGACCCAGATAAGAAGTTCAGGCTGCTGGCTTCCACGTGGCCTTGCCTTGATCATTGCAACCACATGGGGTACAAACAGCAGATAGAAGAGCGCTCTCTCTCTGCAAATCTACCCTTCAGATACATATAAATCTTTAAATTTTTAAATCTTTTTGTTGTTAAGATTTTTATTTTATTTTCATTACAAGGTCAGATATACAGAGAGGAGGAGAGACAGAGAGGTAGATCTTCCGTCCGACGATTCACTCCCCAAATGAGCGCAACGGCCGGTACTATGCTGATGTGGAGCCAGGAAACAGGGTCTCCCACGTGGGTGCAGGGTCCCAAGGCCTTGGGCCGTCCTCAACTCCTTTCCCAGGCCAGAAGCAGGGAGCTGGATGGGAAGTGGAGCTGCCAGGATTAGAACTGGCGCCCATATGGAATCCCGGCGCATTCAAGGCGAGGACCTTAGTCGCTAGGCCACGCTGCTGGGCCCTAAATTTTTAAATCTTAATAAATAAATAAATAAATAAATAAATAAATAAATAAATAAATAAATAAATAAGCTGGCAGGCGTGGCTACTCCAGCACATATCCCAGGCAAAGGGAATGGAATCACCCAGTTTGCTCAATGAATTCTGCTGTCTTTATTATGATTATGTGGCTCCAGCCAAAATCAGGAGCATGGAACTCCATCTGGGTCTCCCACATGGGTGCCCAAGGCACCAGGGACTTGGGCCATCTTGCGCTGTTTTCCCAGGAGTGTTAACAGGGTGCTGGATCAGAAGCAGAGCCACAGGAATTCCAACCAACACTCCGATCTGGGATACCAGTGTGGCAGTTGGTGGCTTAGCTCACTGTACCACAAAACTGACCCCGGACTTCTGTTTGGTATCAACAGGAAACTACTTTTTCTTTGTCCACGCTGCTAAAACATGTCCTTCCACTGATAGCTTTTTACGTAGACTTTATCTTTCTGGTCATTTTCCTTTAGTAGGCCTCATTTTGCTTCTGTAACAGTGACTCATTTTCAGGGGGCAGTGGCCAAGTACAGTCTACATCAAAACCCTAACCTTGCAGTCACTCTGCAGTAACCCCCATCACCATCTCCACCCCCACCCAGGCCTGGGCCTCAGCGTGGGGTCTGCAGCGGAGAAGCGGGGAGGGGTGGCTTGGCTTGTGCCCTCATTTTTTTTTTTTTCTTTCCTCCACTTCCTTCCCTTTCTGGTTCTTCTGATATCAGAAAGGGGATTAGAAGAATGAGAGGAAAAGGGACAAATAGTCTCCAGTCGCCGATGCTTTTGGAACTCTGCAGCCCGCGCCTCGGGTGCACTCCCGCTGGCAGGCTCAGGTCCCTGGTCCCGCAGCCCAGCTGGGAGGGCCTCCTGGGGCCTCCAGGGACTGTGACCCCAACCCTGCCCAGGCTTCCGCCTCCTGTGCCTGGCTGCTCCAATTGCCTCCATCCATTCCCAGAAAAGCTGCTTGTCTGGTCTCTGGACATGGCCTGGCTGGGGCCAAGTACCAGAAACAAACAAGTCTCTACTCAGGGTGAGCCCCAGGCAGACACCTGCCGCCTGCCCCCCCAGGGCTCTGGTCAGCATGTAGGTCAGCTATGTGTCAGCCACTGTCCCTGGCCAGAAGGCCTCGGCTGGCTCGGACACACCTACATTCATGCCACCAAAGGGGGCCGGGGCAGGACCTGGCAATCTCCCTCAAATAAAACCCAGTTTGTGCCAGCCAGGGACAAGGCAGGGTGGCACCCCGACGATGACGAGGCTGGCCACAAACCTGTAGGATGAGGTAGAGCCAGCCATGCAGAGAATGGGGGGCAGAGGGAGGGCAGGCTCCTGCCGAGGCTTGAAAGTCAGAATGGGCTTAGTGTGTCTCAGGTCCCGGGAAGCAGCGGTGAGGGCTGCCTGAACTGACAAGGGGTAGGTGGGCGCCCTATTACGGGGTCTGAAGAGCCTGCTATGGGGTGGGGCCCTCACCCTGGTGCAGTGGAAAGGACTCCTGAGCTGACCAAGGCTTTGACAAGGTCACTCACCTTGGCTGCCCAAAGACGTGGGCGAGACAGCTGCCGCCCCACTGAAAAGGGCTGGGGACTCTGGGGACAGGAAGGGGGCACTAGAGGGCAGCCTTGGCCTTGGCTAGACACATGCCCCCTCCCCACATGAGGCATCTTCTAGCTGCTTCTGTGCCCAGCTCCTCCTGCTCCTTGGGCCTGGAGTGGCAATGTCACCCCGCCTATGCATCTCCAGCCCCCTTGTCCTCCCTCTCCCCGTCCACCCTGCCCCTGCTGGCTCCCAGGGCCCCGCCAGCACCTCCCCCTGTGCTTGGCACATGCTGCTGCTGTCATCTGTTTACTTGTCTGTCTCACTCCCTGGATAATGAGCGTCCCACAGACACCACGCGGAGACACACGTGGAAGCGCGGGGACACGGGGATGGGCCAGCCAGTGCCCTGGGGTTCGGGACCATGGGACTAGGCAGGCTTTGACCTGTCCTGTTTCTGGAATGTTCTCTCTCTCTCTCTCTCCCTCCTCCCTAAACACCAATGGCCGGTGTGAGTCCAGCGGGGACATAGGAAGTGTATGTTCTCCTACCTTGCCCAACACAAACACACATACACTCGCCCCTGCCAGCCACCAGTCACCTCTCTGTGCCCTTCTGGGACCAGAGGTGGCTGAACGCTGTATCAGGCTGTGGGATGAATGAAGGTATACCCAGGGAGCTTGGTCAGAGCCAGAACTGATGGCCACATAAGCAAGCTAACGGTGGTCCCCCATGTAATGGGGGGCTTGTGGCAGCTCCCATCCTGTGCTCTCCCCACAGGCTTGGGGGCCGTGGGCTGGGGTACCTCCCCTCACATCCGCTGTGCCAGTATGCTGCTCGTTCCTAAGATGCTGGGCAAAGAGGGCAGACTTTTTGTCCTAGGGTACGCCCTGGCTGCCATCTACGAGGGTGAGTGTGTGTGTGTGTGTGTGTTCCTCAGTCAGTGACCCTGGGCGGGAGATAGCTAGGAAAGGGGGATGTCCAGTGGGCACTGGGCCTAGGGATGAAGACAAACTAGAAGCTCCTACTCCAGCTGCTCTGATCTGCTGTGTATCCCTGAGAAAACTGCTCTCTTTGGTAGGGAGAAAAAATTCAAGGGTCGAGCCACAGGTGCCCTCATGCTGCCAGGCTCTGGGGAAAGGGAGGGTGTGAGAGAGTAGCAGGCTGCACAGCCCCGTGACCCCCCCCTTCCCCGGGGGACCACTTTCTACAGGTCCAGTAGCCAACCTGCGGCACAACCTCAATGAAGTGGTGGCGTCGCTGGGCTGCACCGTGGAGCTGCAGATCAACAACACACGCTTGGCCTGGCGCACGTCCACCGCCCCGCTGCGGGCCGTGTTCAAGGACCTGTTGGTCAGCAGGGGCCCACTGACTGGCTGTCACTCTGGGCCTCGTTTCCATCCCAGCATGGGATGTCTTTAGAACTCTTCCTGGTGCTGGCCTGAGGCACTGAATGCCAGCAGAGCCATCCCCCTCATCTCCCAATACTTGGGTGAACGATATTTGATTCTGGAAGTTGGGGACCTTGGTCTTGAGCCCTTTGGAAGCCTTGAGGAATGGGGATTTGGGAATTGAGTTGCTTCAGGGCTGGTGTTTGGGAATTGGTTAGGAGGACTGAGGAGGGGTACCTGGTGGACCCCGGAGGAAAGGGTGTTCAGACAGTGGGGTGGAGGGTTGAAATCAAAGGACCACTGAGAGGTGAGGCTCTGGGCTGCGAGCGGGGGACCCAGGAGCGGGACAGAGTAGCCCTGGGTGTGAGCTAAGGCCATGGGATGCAGGGCACAGCAGGACAGCGAACCCAGGCGTATGTGTCTTAGGGCCTCTACTCCCTGGAAACCTGGAATGAGGTCCAGAGCTTGACCTGGGGCAAGGGGAGGCAGGGAGGGCAGGCTGCAGGTGCTATAGCTCTGAACCTCTCTCCCTCTCACCCCTCCTCCACCAGAGCAGCAAAAAGGCCCTGAGAGCAGAGACTCGCAACATCTCCACTTCCTTTGAAGAACTGGATGCCCAGGTGCGCGGCGAGGATGGCTACACAGCTGAGGAGGCCACGGGCGCCGAGAAGGAGGCCTCAGCCCCATTCGTAAGGGCCCGACTCCCTGTCTCCCGACTCCGCCTCTCGACCCAGCAGATGTACGAGATGAAAACCAAGCTGCGCTGCTACAGTGAGAGGAGTCCCTGGCGGGCAGTGTAGGGCCCAGGGTGGGGTGAGAGATCGGCAGGGGCGCCGGGACTTGAGACGCCACTTTTCCCTGTAGACATAGTGAACAAGGCCATCCTCAGCTGCCACAGCTGGTTCACCCAGAAATACCAACAGTGCCTGCAGCGCATCCAAGTCCCACTCCTCAACCACCTGCTCTGCCTGCCCATGAAGTTCAAGTTCTTCTGTAACATTGCCAAGGGTCAGCGCAAGAGTGGGAGGGCGGGGAGGACTGGGCTGGGAGCCAAGTCCTTGGGGACTGCTGAGGGTAGGTGTTTTAGGGGTGGGGGAGATTTAAGGTCTGAGGACCCAACACTGCCCACCGCTGACTGGCTTTGGGGCACAGCAAAGCTCTGAGTGGCAACTCTCCCTCAGAAAATGAGTATCTTCCAACAATTGAGGGGATCGTGCAGGTGAAGCAGGGCCAGAGCTGTCGGAGCTTGTGGGCTGTTAGCATCAGCATTTACCTGGTGACGCGCAGGTGGAAGGAAGGCACCCCAGGCTTTGTTTCTCCAAGAAGGGAGAAGAGGGCAGGACATGGGGCGGTAGAAGTCACAGGCTAGGACACACCGAACAGGTGGAGGAAGAGAAGACCGGGAGGGGAGCTGGGCTGGGCACTGGGCTGCCCTCACCTGCCCACCTGTCCGCCAGTGATGGGGGTTTGGTGCCGCAGCCGCATCCCAGTGGAAGGGAACTTTGGGCAGACCTACGACTCCCTCAACCAGTCTGTGCGAGGCCTGGACCGGGAATTTTCAGCGGACATTGACATCAAGGTGCAAGCCATGCTGAATGTGGGGTAGGGTGGGGGATGAGGGAGCTTTAGGGGACAGGGCTGGAAGAAGGACAAATGTGAGGGAGGCCCCAAAGTGTGTGAAAGAGGGGTGCTGGGTGGGGGACGGTGCTGATGCTGGGGCAGGTGGGGGTGGGGTGAGGCTCAGGCTTGCGGCAGCACAGATAGGCTCAGCCAGGGCATGGAGTGCAGCCAGGCAGTGTTGGGGTGGGGGAAAGGAGGGAGGGAGTGGGACAGCTCCTGAGGGTCCTGTGAAGCTCTGGGTCCTGGAGGGGTGTGTGTGGCGGGGAGAGGCATGGCAAAGCAGCTGGCCCAGCTCTGCCCTCCCCCAACCCAGGAAGAGAAGCAGAGCGGGCTGCTGGGCCTCAACATGAGTTGGCAGCACGTGAGCACTGAGGTGCGGGACTACGTGGAGCGCCAGGAGGCCCAGCTGGAGTGGGCCCTGAGCCTGCTGCACACGCTGCTGTCCTGCGCCTTCCTGCTGGTCCTGCACGCGTGAGCCTGGGTCCCCCCACCAGTCGCAACCCCTTCTGATGGGGTTGGGGGATGCTACAGGGAACTCTGTGTGTCACATGGCCATTCTGTCCCTGTCCCCAACCCTTCCTCCCCACCCTGACATTTCTTCTTGCCTGACATCTCCCTGTTGCCTCTGACTTGGCACCATTTTTATCGCCCAGTTTGGCATTCAGTCTCCCCCGCCCTGCTACGCTGGCAGCTACTTGCCCTCCGTTTAGAACAAAGTCCTCGACTCCACCCAGCCTGGTGGCCACGGCCTGCTGGGCTCCTGCTCTCGCATTGACCTCAGGACCCTGCCACTTCCTGTCCCCACCCCAGTGCCCGAGACGGGTAGGGGCTTGGGCTGCCGCCCCCATGCTGTGGGTCCTGGAGTGAATGCTGGGTGGATACCCAGGGCTTCTTCCTGCCCACCTCCCCCCCAGCAGCTCCTGGTCTCTTGGGTGGGAGAGCACCCCTGAGGCAGCCAGCTCAAAGGTGATCTGGACAGATGCTGAAAGCGGGGACAGAGAAGGCATCCACAGGAGCACAAGTGGGGCTCCCCTTGCTGAAAATGGTCAGGGTGTTGTGCTGACATGGATCCTGGTGTGTGCCGGGCATGGGGGACAGAGCCTGGCCTGGAGGGTTGGGCCACAGTGGCCATGACCAGAGCTGGGGCGGGGTGGAACAGGAGATGGAGGCGGAAGGGGAAAGGTACAGCGGGCCTCAAAGCCAGCTCGCGGGAGGGGAGGAAGGAGGCACGGAGTCAAAAGCCACTTCCAGGCTTTCAGCCTGGGTGAGGTCATTGGCTAAAGGGACCGAGCCGGTGGGAGAGCAGGCCCTGGCTCCGGAAGCCCAAGCACCGCCGAGGTGTCTCCACAAGGGGGCGCGCACAGCCTGTTTTTGCATCGGTAGCTGTTTTCTGTTTTCAAGGCAAAGGTAAAGGAATTTTACAGGGTCGCAGAACCAATTGCACTGGAATTTAAAATGTCACACTTCACAGCGCTCATTTAATGTATTTTCACAGTCTTAAATGCTTTCGACGACTAGTGTGTCTTTCTCTGGAAACTGAAGCATTATGGAAGGGCTTCAAGATTGACATGGGAGAGGGGCACGCAGGTGCACACATGTGACACACGGGCACTCACAGTCGCACAGCTGTAGTGCTGCAGGGTAGCCAGGAAGGAGGAAGGCGACTGGGGACATGAGCTGTGCCTGCAGTCTCCCAGGGACATGTGCTGTGGGCCGAGCCAGGGGCAAGGACCGGGGATGCTTCTGCAGTCACCCAGCTCCATGCCTCCACAGGGCTCTCACGTACAAGGTGCCAACCTGACCTGGTTCTCACGCACACATGCCTCACTCCCAGGCAGACTGCCCAAGCCGTCTCTCAGCCCCCACCTGGTTTCACCCACACACACTTTCCACTGCCCAACTGGAAGGGAGGCTGTGGTCTGCTCACCATCACCGTTGTCTAGCACAGGGCCCAGGATGTAGACCAGTGGATGGTGGTCAGTGGGTTGGGTGCCTGGGCCTCACGGAAGCCTGTGGCTAGGGCCGCCTTTGTGGGCATCCCATATGGGTGCTGGTTCATTATCCAGATGTTGCACTTCTGGACCACATCCCTGCTGGTAGCCTGGGAAAAGTAGCAGATGATAGCCCAAAATGCTTGGGATACTAAACCCTCGTGGGAGACCCAGAAGAACTTTAACAGGTCTTGGCCATTGTGGCTATCTGGGGAGTTGAGCCAATGGTTGGAAGATCTCTCTTTAAAATAAATGAAAAAGGACCTGGTGCCGTGGCCTAGCAGCTAAAGTCCTTGTCTTGAATGCGCTGGGATCCCATATGGGCGCCAGTTCTCCCATCCAAGTACTAGGCAATGGGCACCAGTTCTAATCCCAGCAGCTCCACTTCCCATCCAGCTCCCTGCTTCTGGCCTGGGAAAGCAGTCGAGGACGGCCCAAGGCTTTGGGACCCTGTACCCACGTGGGAGACCAGGAAGAGGTTCCTGGCTCCTGGCTCCGGATCAGCGCAGCACCAGCCGTTGTGCTCACTTGGGTAGTGAATCATCAGACAGAAAATCTTCCTCTCTGTCTCTTCTCCTCTCTGAATATTTGACTTTGTAATAAAAATTAATTAATTAATTAACTAATCAAATAAAATGCATAAATCTTTAAAAATAAATAAATGAAAAAAGGGTTTTTTTTTAAAGATTTGTTTTATTTTTATTGCAAATCAGATATACAGAGAGGAGGAGAGACAGAGAGGAAGATCTTCCATTAAATGATTCACTCCCCAAGTGAGTGCAATGACCAGTGCTGCGCCGATCCAAAGCCAGGAGCCAGGAACTTCCTGCAGGTCTCCCCTGCGGGTGCAGGGTCCCAAAGCTTTGGGCCATTCTTGACTACTTTCTCAGACCACAAGCAGGGAGCTGGTTGGGAAGTGGAACTGCTGGGATTAGAACCAGTGCCCGTATGGGATTCTGGCGTGTTCAAGGCAAAGACTTTAGCCGCTAGGCCACTGTGCCAGGCCTGAAAAAAATTTTTTAACATATTTTTTCAAAATTTATTTAAAAAAATTTTAAATGGAAAGTCAGATATACAGAAAGGATATCTGAAAGTCAGATATACAGAGAGGAAGATCTTCCATCTGCTGATTCACTACCCAAGTGGCCACAAGGGTCTGAGCTGAGCCGATTCAAAGCCAGGAGCCAGGGGCTTCTTCCTGGTCTCTCACGCAGTTGCAGAGTCCCAAGGTCTTGGGCCGTCCTCGACTGCTTTCTCAGGCCATAAGCAGGGAGCTGGATGGGAAGTGGAGCCGCCAGGATTAGAACCAGCACCCATACGAGATCCCAGGACGTGCAAGATGAGGACTTTAACCTCTAGGCTATCATGTGGGCCTGAAAAAAAAGTTTTAACGGGGCTTCCATGGTTGGGGTGGGAGAGGTGACCCGGGGAAAGGTGACAGTGTGTTCACCTGTCCCCAGATCCTTCTCCTACATGGACAGCTATAACCACGACATCCGCTTCGACAACGTCTACATCAGCACCTACTTCTGTCAGATCGACGAACGCAGGAAGAAGCTGGTGGGTGGACACAGCCCTGTCCTGCTCCGGGGATGCCTAGCTGTGTGCCCCGTGCAGTCTGGCTGAGGTCCCCAGGAGGCCAGAGGGGATGGGGGGAGACTACCTCTTCCAGCATGGACACATTTCCCTCTAAGGGCAAACGAACTCTATTGCCGCTCCGTAAAGCCGAGGAAAAAACCGTCATTTTTCCGTGCAGGCCCACCATCCAGGGCTCTGAGATGGCCAACGTGGTGAGCAGGGGAGGGGGAAATGCCAGCGGGGGTGGGCAGGGGCACGTGAAGGCCTGGGCTCTGCCCTGGGGTGCCTGCCGAGCCCTCCTGCTCCTCCCTACCCCACCGACTCCTGCTCTCCGGGGCAGCTGAGAGAGCTCCTAGAGACACTGCCGGTCCTGCTCCTTCTGCTCCTGCTCTTCGGGCTGGACTGGGCCCTCTACTCCATCTTCGACACCATCCGCCAACACTCCTTCCTGCAGTACTCCTTCCACAGTGAGCCGGGGCCGCCTCCAAGCTCTGGGCCCACCCCTAGCACACCAGCACTGCTCCACAACTCCCAGGGAGTCTCTCCCTGGCCTTAGCCCTGTGGGCACCTGACTGCTGTTGCAAGACCTCAGTTTCCCCTTTGTGACAGCGAAGGGCTGGTTAGGTCCCCTGAGAGACACTCCCAAGCCTTGGCCTTCCCCACGCTCCCACTCCCCCTCCACTGAATGCCCCACTGCCCTTTCTGGTCCCAGGCAGCCATAAACTGGAGGTGAAGGTTGGGGGAGACTCCATGCTCGCCCGGCTGCTTCGGAAAACCATTGGGGCCCTGAACACCTCCTCGGAGATGAGGATGGAATCCAACAACATGCGTAAGTGAGGCTGGGGCAGAAGATTTCAGGGTGACAAGGTGTGTGGTCTAGGCCTTGGTGTTGTAGAAACAGGAGTCAGCTGGAGTTGGGAAAAGGGTCAGGAGCACACATGGGAAGGCTTGGAGGGCTGGCTGGAGGCAAGCTTGGGCCAGAGGGGGCTGGGAGCTGCAGCTGAGGCTTCCAGCACCTTCTGGAGCAGTACTGGCTCACAGAACTCTGTACAAGCCACCGACTGGTCCCAGGCACCCCAGCCCCGCTGAGCAAACAGCCAGAGGCGTTGTGGCTACAGCCCTGACACCACCCACCTGCGGGTAGAGGCTGGCAGGTGAGCTGAGCAATGTGGGGCCTCCCAAGCCCGCAGCTCCCCGCACCAAGGCCTGACCCTCCCACAGCCTGTCTGCCCCAGCCCGTGTGCCTGGACGCCAGGGCCTACTGGAGAGCTGTGCTTCCCACGGGCCTGCTAGCGTGCCTCTGCCTGGCCCAGGCCTTTGCCTACCGACTCCGGAGGGTCATCGCGGCCTTCTACTTTCCAAAGGTGTGGCCCTCCTGGGGGGGTAGCCTCCCCACATCTCCCCACACCCAGAGCCCTCCCCCCACCCGCCCCTTGGCCTGCAGCGCACTCACTGTCCCCACAGCGGGAGAAGAAACGGGTCCTGTTCTTCTACAACGAGCTATTGAGGAAGAGAGCGGCTTTCACCAAGCTCAGGCGAGCTGCCATCCTGAGGAGGGCGCGACAGCAGAGGGCTCCGGCAAGTCCTGGTGGGGCGCCACCCCTGACCTCAAGTCCGCTGGAACACAATGCAGGCCACAGGTCCCCTCTCCCTGCCCCCTCCCATCATCCAGTTCCTTGAGGTCAAGGTCAGGTCCACTTCTATTATAGTCCAGGCTTCAGCCCAGCTTGGGGATGCTTGGGGACCCCAAGGCAGAAAAAGGAACCAGCTTTGATGCAGCCTGTTCCAAGAGGGGCCATAAAAGAGAGCTCAGCAGAAATGGGGTGCCCAGTCAGAGAAGGAAGTGCCAACAGGTAGACTGGGCACATGGCAGGGGGACAACTCGGCCTGGAGAACCAAGTTCTAATCCATACTCCCTTGATCAGCGGAGTGACCTTGGCCACGTCCGCACCAGACCCTGTCTGTCTCAGCCACGGGGAGGCTGGAAAGGTCCGCATGGCCTCCTCACTGGACACCAAGCTGTGGCACCACCAGGGCCCAGCCCCTCCCTGCCCTGTGCTCTTGAGCTGGCACCTGCTGTGTGCACTGCCCTGTGTGGCTTCCCTGTGGAGCATAACGGGTTAACCCTTTCTTCTGGTTACTGCAAGGTCAGGTCTTCCGGTGGCAGGTTCCTGTCCTGGGTGTTGTCACTGGGTAACCCTGGAGAGGTGCCCACCTAGCCAAGGTTTTCTCTCTCTACACAAGATGATCTTATTGACAGTATCTGTGAGGGTTAATGTTCCCATCGAGTTCATTCACCTAAGGCAGCCTAGCAGGGAGCCTCCAGCAGTGTGATTTCATCGTCCCCCACTGCCCACAGTCACTGGTATTGCTTCACTTCTTCCGGAGTGTCCAGTCCGCCCCTGCCTCCCCATGAGGCGTCCACAGGGACCAAACCAGCGGGCCCAGATGACACTGACTGCAGGGCCCGGGTAGGGGCCTGTGAAGAAACCAGGACCCTGAGCGAGGCATGCCAGAGGCCCGGGACTGGGGAGGAACTGTGGGAAAAGTCACAGGGACGCCCCAGGAGGCCCCCTTGTCTGGGAAGGGGGAGATGAAGATGGTGACAGTGATGGTCTGTCGCCCAGGTCTTCACCTCAGGGCAGGCAATGGCGACGCAGATGGCGTCCTGCCGCTGCACAGCGCCGCCTCCCACGGGTGCTGGCTGTCTCGCCCTGTCCCTCCCTCTTCTGTCTTTCCCTCTTTCTGGACCTCCCTCCCTCTCTTTCTTCCTTTTTCTCTTCCTCTTTCCCTCTCTCTCCCTGTTTCTCGCCATCTCCCGCCCCTCAGGACCCCATCAGGACCCCATCTCCTGCCCCCTCAGGACCCCATCGCCCCCTCAGGACCCCATCTCGCGCCCCTCAGGATCCCATCTCCTGTCCCTCAGGACCCAATCGCCCCTCAGGACCCCACCTCCTGCCCCTCAGGACCCCATCTTGCGCCCCTCAGGACCCCATCGCCCCCTCAGGACCCCATCTCCTGTCCCTCAGGACCCCATCGCCCCCTCAGGACCCCATCTCCTGTCCCTCAGGACCCCATCGCCCCCTCAGGATCCCATCTCCTGTTCCTCAGGACCCAATAGCCCCTCAGGACCCCACCTCCTGCCCCTCAGGACCCCATCTTGCGCCCCTCAGGACCCCATCGCCCCCTCAGGACCCCATCTCCTGTCCCTCAGGACCCCATCGCCCCTCAGGACCCCATCTCCCGCCCCTCAGGACCACATCGCCCCCGAGGACCCCATCGCCCCCTGAGGACCCCATCTCCCGCCCCTCAGGACCCCATCGTGCCCCTGAGGACCCCATCTCCCGCCCCTCAGGACCCCATCGCCCCTCAGGACCCCATCTCCCGCCCCTGAGGACCCCATCGCCCCTCAGGACCCCATCGTGCCCCTCTAACCACCCCGCCCCGACAGCGCCACCACGCGGTGGACGTCCTGCACCGCCGCTGCCCGCTCGTGCGCCGCTGGCTGCGCCGGCGCTGCGTGGTGTGCCAGGCGCCCGAGACGCCCGAGTCCTTCGTGTGCCCGACGCGGGACTGCGGGACCGTGTACTGCCGGACGTGCTGGGACGACATGCGGCAGCGCTGCCCCGTCTGCACGCCCCCGGAGGAGCTCTCCTCCTCCGCCTACAGCGACAGCAACGACGACACCGCCTACGCCGACTGAGGGGCGTCCGCCTCAATAAACCTGCCTGCCACTCTCCCGCCGTCCACCTTCTCGGGGTCGGGGATGGGGGAACCAGGAGAGCCGGGCGGCTGCCCCGCGGGGCGGGAGCGGGTTCTGGATCCCCGAAGGCCGACTGAACGGCAGGCACGAAGCAGACAGAAGGGCAGCGAAGCTGATTGCTTAGGGATCCGCGGTCAGAGCGATGTCCGAGTGGGAAGGATCCGGTCTGCGGGAAAGCGGCAGTGCGGGCCGGGGCGGGCCGGGGGCGGGCCGGGGGCGGAGCCTCGGGCCGGCGACTCCACCGTGGGCGGGATCGGGGCGGAGCCTCTGCGGTTTTAGGACTCCAGAGGGGGCGGGATCGGGGCGGGGCCTCGGGGCTTCGATTCCACCGGGGGGCGGGGCCGGGGTGAGGGCGGCGCCTCGGCGGCTTTAGGACCCCGGAGGAGGCGGGATCGGGGCGGGGCCTTAGTGGCTTTCGGACCCCCTGAGGGGGCGGGGCCGGGTAAGGGCGGGGCCCGGCGGGAGGGCGGGGCGGGGCCTGGCGGCTGCGCGTAGCCACCAGGCGCTTGGAGCAGACCCGGCCGCCGCAGCTTGTCCGCGCGGCCCCGCACCTGCCGCCCTCCCGGCCCGGGGCGCCGCTGCCATGCGGCTGGCGCTGCTCTGGGCCCTGGGTCTCCTGGGCGCGGGGAGTCCTCTGCCCTCCCGGCCGCTTCCAAAGATGGGTGAGTGTCCAGGCGGGAGGGAGGTTAGGGAGAGGGGTCGGACTCGGAGGAGGTTAACCGGGAATTGAGGAGGAATTGGGGTCCTGAGACCGTCCGGGGGCGTGGGCAGAGCTCACTCTGTCCAGAGCGCGGCCTGCCCTGTGCTGCTGCCCTGGGCCTGGGGCCAGTGACTTGGCGATGGAGTGGAGCGGGAGGAGGAGGGATGCCGGTGCGCCCGGCTGGGTGGTCCCCTGGCGTGATCCCCCGCACACACTGTGCGGTTCAGGTGCCGGGCATCGCTGGTGCTGCTCTGCGCCCCCGCGAGATCCTAGAAAAAGCAGCGCTGCTCCCTGGGCTGACGACTTCGCTCCTCTGGGGCCTAGCTGGCCCTTCCAGCTGGTGCCAGGGCGCTCGCGGGGCGCAGGAGCCCGTCCAGCCACCCCTCTCCCCGTTGTCAGACCGCGCTGGGACAGGCCCGCGGCTCGTCCTGGTGTCATTGCCATCAGAAGCAGCCCGGCTGGGCCCAGCTGGGCCGGGAGGGGCCGGGAGGAGGGAGGCCGGGCCAGGAAAGAGGCCGGGACACATCAACTCCTCCTTGGAACTTTCACTTCCCGCTGCTGTCTTGGGCCAGGGGGCTGAGAGGGTCGGCGGCGGGAGTGGACGTCCGGAGGACAGCGGGCCACTGTTGGGGGTGTGGTGGGTGCGGGGAGGAAGCCGCGGCTGTGGGGAGTGGGTGTGCCTGGCTGGGCGGCCAGGGGTATTTAGGGAGGTGGGGATGTTTGCTCACCCAAAATGGGCGTTCCCGCCTCCACATGGCGAGGGAAGGGGAGGGGAGGGTGGAGGGCGGCTGGGCACCCGGCCACAGGGCTGCGCCCAGTTCCGAGAGGGCGTTCCTGGGGGGACAGGGGGAGAGGGGGGAGGGTTCCCGAGAGACAGAATCTGGGATTGACCCAAGGGGGCCAAGAAGAGACTGCAGACTGAGCAAGCGGGGTTCTTAAGTGACTTGGCCAGCGGCTGGTGATAGCTGGTGAGTAAGCCTATGCCTCCAGGGTTCTCCGTGTAGTCCCAGCGTGCAGAGCAGGGCCCATTCGGGCACAGCAGGGCCTTGACATTGGGCGCCACGTCCTCAGCATTCTCCTGGGGTGTCCTGAGCTGCAGGTGGCACGGGAGAGCCTCTGTCCGGCGAGGAGGGGGAGCCTTGGAGCCGGTCCTCGGACAGACCAGCCATCAGTCTAGGGGAGGTGCTACAGGTGAGCGCCCCCTCCTGCCCATGCTCTCCTGATGGCAGCTGGCTTTCTCAGACCAAAGCCCACAATGTTGCAGCAGGTTCCTCCTGGTCTGGCTGCCTCTGTCTTCCCACAACCCTGCACCTGGCTTCACTTAGCACACACACCCCATGCACATCTGTCCACCTAGCCGCACCCAAGCTCTCCATCTCCACTGGGAAAGTGCCGTTGTTCTCAGTTGGGGAGAGGGTCAAGGCCTCCCCAAACCACCACCCCACTCCACACCCCCACCCCACTCTACCGCTGAGTCAGAGGAAGGGCTGAGGCCCGCGCGGGGACCTCCACGCTGCTTCCTCTCTGGGCAGGAAGCCGAGATGGGACGGCTCAGACACCTTCCTTGACCTCCCCCCCCACCCCCCAGAACAATGCCCCAGGCCAGGCAGAGCTTCCTGGTGCCTCCCTGGGGAGCCCACCACCCCACCCCCACACTACCAATGATCTAATCCTCAGTGCTCTCCCAGGGGTATGAGGCTCCTGGGGTGCAGGCACTGCAGGCAGGGCTGGTGAGGTAATGTGCCCCCTGGTACCCGCCCACAGGGCAGCCTGCCTAAGGACCTGAGAGTCAGCCTGGAGCTGGACGGTGAGAACCACATCCTGGAGCTGCGACAGCACAGGTAAGGCTGACCTGACAATCCCAAGAGGTCCTCATCAGGGCACAGAGAGGTTTGTGAACCTGCCCGAGGTCACAGGGCTGACCTGTGTTAAAAGCCAGATGGGCACGCAGAGGGCCTGTTGTGCTCCAGCCACCCTTCCCAGCTGCAGGCCTGCCTACCTGTCACTGCACCCCACAGTGGTCAGTGTGACATTAGCCTCTTCTTTCATCCACAGGAATCTGATCCCGAGCCGCCCTGCGCTGGTGTGGTACCAAGGTGATGGCACTCGGGTGCTCAGTGAGGGACACACTCTAGTGAGTTGGACTCCTGGTTCCCTGTTTCAGGCTGGGAGTAGGGGAGAGGGCGGGGGTGCCTGGGGCTGGCAACCCTGGAGGAGCTGGGCAGACACTGCACATCTTGTCCCTGGCTCCAATCTCAGCATCGGCCTCAATGTCTCTGCTCTAGGATAACTGCTGCTACTGGGGACTGGTACAGGGTCGTGCGGGTTCCTGGGCCTCCCTGTGCACCTGCTCTGGGCTCAGGTACACCGGGTGGAGTCCATGGCAGCAGGGGGAGAGGGCATGGGGACTCCAGGTGCGGAATGGAAATGTTTTCTCGCTTCCGGTCTGTCTTCCTAGGGGATTGGTAATCCTGTCTCCAGAAAGAAGCTACACCCTGGAGCTGGGACCTGGGGAATTTCAGGGTCCTCCCCTCATCTCCCGCATCCAAGACCTCCTCCTGCCAGGCCACGCCTGTGCCTTGAGCTCGCGTGCATCTGCCTCCGCTCCTGCCCAGCCCCTGCCAGAGCTCTCCAGCGGGCAGCGCCATGGCCGCCGGGTAAGGGGGTTCATCGCCAGAAAAGCTGGACTGCCAGAATAACCAGGGCTGACTCCCGGTGCTCAGGGCTGTTCATTCCCGGTGATGAGGGTACCTGTTCATGGGGACCCTGCCAAGCACTTTGCTCTTCCTGGCAACCCTGAAAAGTAGGTGCTGTCAGGAGCTCCGTGTTAGTTGGCAAACCAACCCCAGAAGTTTGGGTTAGTTGCCCACGGCTGCAGCTACAGCACAGCCTGCTGGGACTCAGGAGCCAGTTCACCTCGTGTGTCTCCAGAGACCACTCTTCCTCAAGGAAATAGGAAAGTACCGCAAGAAAAGTGCATGCAGTGGCTGGCCCAGTGGCATATCCTCCACCCTGCAGTGCTGGCATCCTATGTGGGTGCCAATTTGAGTCCCAGATGCTTTACTTCATATTCAGCTCCCTGCTTGTGGCCTGGGAAAGCAGTAGAAGATGGCCCATGGCCTGGGAACCCTGCACCCGTGTGGAAGACCTGGAAGAAGCTCCTGGCTCCTGGCTTCTGATCAGCTCAGTTCTGGCCATTGCAGCCACATGGGGAGAGAATCAGTGGATAGAAGATCTTTCTGTATCTCCTTCTCTTTGGAAATCAGCCTTTCCAATAAATAAGAGAATATATACATATATATTTATTTATATGTATAATGAATTAATAAATATTTTTCCCTTTTACAAAAATAGATGGATTGATTTGAGAGGCAAAGTTAGAAAGGGGGAGAGACAGAACAAGAGAGATTTTCCAGCCATGGTTCACTCCCCGACCGGTCACAATACGCAGAGCTGGGATGGAAGGGGCCCGAGCACGTGGGCCATCCTCTGCTGCTTTCCTAAGTGTTAGCAGGGAGCTGACTCTGATGTGGGGCAGCTGGGATTTCATGGGTGTCATAGATGGTGGCTTAACCTTAACTGATTGTAGCACAGTGCTAAATAAATAACTTTTTAAAAATAAATAACTTTAAAAAAATTCCTTTTATATTATTTGAAAGGCAAAGTTATGAGAAAGAGGGAGACACAGAACTCTTCCATCTACTAGTTCAGTCTGCAGATGCCTACAACAGCTGGGGCTGAGCCAGGCCAAATCTAGAAGCTTCTTCAAGGCTTCCCATGCAGATTTGCCTGTCTTACACTGCTTTGCCCAGTACACTAGCAGGGAGCTAGATCAGAAGTGCAGCAGCCAGGACTTGAACAGGTATCACTACAATGCTGGCCCCAAAAAACTTATTAAAATTATATGTTTATTTTGGTACAAAGTAATTTGAAGACCATCTTATTATTATTTTTTAATATTTCTTTATTTTTACTTGAAAGAGTTACAAAGAGAGAGAGCAACAGAGACAGAGGGCTTTTCCTTCTGCTGGATCACTCCCCAAATGATCATGTTGGGTGGAACTGGACTGATCTGAAAGCAAAGATTCAGGAACTTTTTCTGGGTCTCCCACGCAGGCGCAGGGTCCCAAGGCTTTGGGTCGTCCTCCACTGCTTTCCCAGGCCACAAGCAGGGAGCTGGAAGGGAACTGGAGCAGCCAGGATTTGAACTGATGTACTTATGAGACACTGGCACAGCAGGTGGAGGATTAACCTGTATACCATCACGCTGACCCCCGTGTGGTGTATATATATATTTCCATGAATTTTGTTTTATGTTTTTGTGCATTTTTAAAGATTTATTTATTTTTATTGGAAAGTCAGATTTACAGAAAGGAGAGTCATAGAAAAAACTCTTCCATCTACTGGTTCACTCCCCAAGCGACCACAACAGCCAGAGCTGAGCCAATCTGAAACCAGGAGCCAGGAGCTTCTTCTGAGTCTCCCACGCGGGTGCAGGGTGCCAAGGCCTCGGGCTGTCCTCTATTATTTCCCCAGGCTATAGGCAGGGAGCTGGAAGGGATATAAACCGGCACCCACATGGGATTCTGAAGCATGCGAGGCAAGGACTGTAGCCACTAGGCTAACACACTGGACCCTTTTGTACAGTTTTTATTTGAAAGATAGCAAAGAGAGAAGAAGACAGTAATATAGCTTACTCCCCAGATCACTCAGACTGGGCCAAGAATCAGCAGCTAACTGTGGGTCTCCGCCATGGGACCCAAGTACTTGCACCATCACTGAGTCCGGGGTGCTCATCAGCAGGAAGCTGCGAGCAGGGGTGGAGGAGGGCCTTGAGCCCATACCTCAGAAATGGGGGAAATGGGAAGCAGGCGTTCCTGACAGCCCTTCCCTCCACAAACATTCAGAGGACCCCTCCCACAGGATTGTTCATTGTGAAGCATAAAAAGCCAATTACCTGTTACGTAAAGTGGGGCTAGTAGAACTCATTTAAAAAGGGTTGCTGTGAAGAGTAAATGCAAAGTGCTTGAAACTATGCCACACGCCCGGGGGTTTGCTAGTGACGATGATTTATTGTTTCTTTTTTAATTTGGAGAAAGCGCTGGCCAGCTTTGTCATCTGATTCTTTGTCCCCTGTGGTCACGTCGCGGCCTCTCGGGCTCCCAGTGGTGGCTCCTCTGTGTGACCACACAGGGCAGGCGTGGCCATGGCTCGGTCAGCCCCACATGGCTGCTGGCTCCCCGGGGGCAGACTCACCTGATCCTCCTCCTTCTTGCCCATAGCGGAGGCGCGACGTGATCACAGAGACCAAGATAGTGGAGCTGGTGATTGTGGCTGATCATGCGGAGGTGAGTACCACCTCCGCCCCCAACAACCCCACTGCCCCTCTGCGGCCCAGCAGCTTGTCACCAGCATCCGTCCCCATCCTGCAGGTCATGCGGTACCCGGACTTCCAGCAGCTCCTGAACCGCACCCTGGAAGTGGTCTGGCTGCTGGACACAGTGAGTGCAGGCTGGGCAGTGGTTCCCGCTGACTCCCCAGCCCTGCCCCTCCTCTGAGCCCAGTGTGTCTTTCAGTTCTTCCGGCCGCTGAACGTGCGGGTGGTGCTGGTGGGTCTGGAGGCCTGGACCCAGCGTGACCTAGTGGACGTCAACCCGGACCCAGCTGTCACACTTGACAACTTCCTCCACTGGCGCCAGGCAGACCTGCTGCCTCGATTACCCCATGACAGTGCCCAGCTGGTGACGTAAGGGCTCCCGGCTCAGCCAAAGGGGGCCCCGAATTCACCCTGACCTGGCCGGTTCCTCAACTCCTTACCACAGACCCTATGACCTATGTGACCTTGACCCTGACCTATGACCTTCTGACCTCACAGCGCTACCTTGTTCTCGGGGCCTCTGGTGGGCATGGCCGTCCAGAATTCCATTTGCTCTCCTGACTTCTCAGGAGGTGTCAACATGGTGAGCTGCTTCCCGCGCTCCTGTTCCCTTCCCAGTTCCTGGGCCGAGGCAGGGAGGGCGCCCTCAGAGGCCCAAGGGGCTCTGATGAGCTCCCAGTGCCACGTGATCAGGGAGGAGGGAACAGGAGGCAGGCTGGGCCGCACCTGCAATGTTCCCTCCTGTTGCCAGGACCACTCCACCAGCATCCTGGGAGTGGCCTCCTCCATCGCACACGAGTTGGGCCATAGCCTGGGTCTGGACCACGATTCACCGGGCAATAGCTGCCCCTGCCCGGGGCCAGCCCCAGCCAAAGGCTGCATCATGGAAGCCTCCACAGAGTAAGGGTGGTGCTGGAAGAGGGGGTGGCACAGGCGGCCCCAACTTGCCCTGCTCCCTGCCTCACTCCACCATCCTCTCCCTCCTCAGCTTCCTGCCAGGCCTGAACTTCAGCAACTGCAGCCGCTGGGCCTTGGAGAAGGCCCTGCTGGACGGGATGGGCAGCTGTCTCTTTGAGCGCCAGTCTAGCCTGCCCGCCATGGCTGCCTTCTGTGGAAACATGCTCGTGGACCCAGGCGAGCAGTGTGACTGCGGCTTCCCAGATGTGAGCCAGCTCTCCACGCCCTGCCCTCCCCCTCAGCCCTCTCCCAGTCTCCTGACACAAAGGGCCCAACCCCCCACCCCTGGGTTCCCCAGGGATCCTGGGTGGAGCTCTATAGAGCCCTAGGCCCTCTTGGGTGGGTGGGTGGGGTTGTCTGGAGAGAGGGTCTGGCACTCAGCGCCCTGTGCCCACAGGACTGCACAGATCCCTGCTGCGACTCCTCCACCTGCCAGCTCAGGCCTGGGGCACAGTGTGCGTCAGATGGCCCCTGCTGTCAAAACTGCCAGGTGGGCACAGAGAGGACCAGTTCCCCCCACCGCCCACAGTCCTCCCCTGGGGCTCACCTTGACTTGCCCAGCACCCACACTGACACTGACTCTCCCCACAGCTCCGCCCTGCTGGCTGGCAGTGCCGCCCTCCCAGAGGCGACTGTGACCTGCCTGAGTTCTGCCCAGGTGACAGCTCCCAGTGCCCCCCTGATGTCAGCCTTGGGGACGGCGAGCCCTGTGCTGACGGACAGGCTGTGTGCCTACATGGGCGCTGCGCCTCCTATGCCCAGCAGTGCCAGTCACTCTGGGGGCCCAGAGCCCTGCCTGCCATGCCACTTTGCATCCGCACGGCCAATACCCGGGGCAATGTGTATGGGAGCTGTGGGCGCAGCCCCAATGGCAGCTATGTGCCCTGCACCCCGAGGTAAGCAAGAAAACCCTGCCTCCTGCTCTGGGCTGGCGGGAGCCTTGGCCCCACCACTGTTCGCTGTCTGTCCCTGTTTGGGCGCTACTTGATTGCTGTTCTGCAGCAAAGGACTTGGTGAACAGAGCTGATAAGAATACAGGTGGACTACCAACTGATGGTCAGTAGCCGAAAGTTTATTAGTGGCATCAGGCTTTCATAGATTGAGGGTCACATGGGATAAGGGAGGAGGTATTGAGGACCTTGCATAGTTCTAATAAGCCTGTCTAAAGAACCCATGAATTGTTTCCACACCCTTGTCTGAAAATATCTCTCTTTGTTTTGTATAACCAATTGTGCCCATTCAAATGATATCCACTCAGTTGTCCTCCTACACCCCACCAACCTTATGTATCTGTCTGCCCGCCCCCAGAGACGCCATGTGTGGGCAGCTGCAGTGCCAGGGGGGCAGGACCCGACCTCTGCTGGGCATGGCTCGAGAGTGGCTCTGGGAGATACTAGAAGCCAACGGGACTCAGCTCAACTGTAGTTGGGCACACCTAGACTTTGGCAGTGATGTGGCCCAGCCGCCCCTGGCACTCCCCGGCACAGCCTGTGGCCCCGGCCTGGTGAGTGGGCCTGGGTGGTGGTGGGAGAGGCTAGCTGGACAGATCCCATAAGGACAGCAGCTTTGCCCTGGAGCCACAGCGCTACTGCTGGGTGGCTACGGTGTCCTTTCCCGTGGCAGCAGCTGTGGCCACCCAGCTTCTGACCCTGGCTTTCCTCCTCCCAGGTGTGTATTGACCGCCGGTGCCAGCCGCTGGCTCTCCTGGGAGCGCAAGAATGTCGTAGCAGCAGATGCCATGGGCACGGGGTGAGCTGGTACAGGGTCTGGGGGGGTGGCAAGAAGCTCGACCTGATTCCTTTTAAAAATTTTTCAAAGGTTTACTTATTGTTTTATTTAAAAATCAGATGTACAGAGAGGAGACAAAATTATCCATTGGTTCACTCCCCAAATGACTGCAGTGGTCTGAACTGAGCTGTTCCAAAACCAGGAGCCAGGAGCTTCTTCTAAGTCTCCCACGCGGGTGCAGGGTCCCAAGGCTTTGGGCCATCCTCGACTGCTTTCCTAGGCCACAGGCAGGGAGCTGGCACTCTTATAGGATGGTGGCACTGCAAGGCAGAGATCAGCCAGTTGAGCCACTGTTCCAGCTCCTCCATCTGGTTCTCATTCTGGCTTTGCCATTTAAAGCTGTAGGACTGGGGCAGGTTTTTATTTGTTTGTTGTTGTTGTTGTGTTTGTTTTGTTTTCCTTAGAGATCTATTTGAAAATCTGAGATACACACAAAGATCTTTCATCTATAGGTTCACTCCCCACAACAGCCAAGGCGAGACTAGGCCCAAGTCAGGGGCTTCATCTGGGTCTCCCACAGGGGTGGCAGGGGTCCAGGGACTTGGTTGTCACCCATGGCTCTCCCAGGCGCATCAGCAAGGAATTGGATCAGAAACAGGACAGTAAGACTCCAGCCAGTGCTCTGAGCTGAGACGCCTGGCCTGTGGAGCAGGCACGATGCTGGCATCCTCTGGTGTCCACTCCCCGGGTTTCCGGGAGATGTGTTGGGCAGCGGGTGTTCTAGCTCCACACCAGCAGGTGGAAGGGCTGTGAGGGCCAGTGTGCCCCACTTCCTCCAGCACCGGCAGGAACTCTTCCTGTCATTGCCAGCTGTGGCCACTGGGGACCTGGGGCAGCCCTAGGGCTGAACGCTCCTCACTGCTCGCCGCCATCCCCTAGGTCTGTGACAGCAACAAGCAGTGCCACTGTGAGGAGGGCTGGGCAGCCCCTGACTGCACCTCCCGGGTCCGAGGTAGCACCGAAGTGGGGACAGGGGCCCCAGGAAATCTTTTCCTTTCCCCTTCTGGGCCCTCTTTTTGTTTGTTTGTTTGTTTTGCTTTGTTTTAATTCGGCCCCTCTGTTCTGACCCACCCACTTCTAGTTCCCTGGCCCCATGACCTCTGAACCCTCTGTCTTCCCTGACCACCTGGCTTCACTGTCTGCCCCCTGCTCCCTCCTGGCAGTGGTGGGGGTGGGCTGATGAAGCTCTTGGCTTTGCCCACCTCTGAACCCCACCACTCTCACCCCCATAGCCACCAGCCCCCTGACCACGGGACTGCTCCTCAGCCTCCTGCTGCTGCTGCTCCTGCTGCTGCTGGGTGCAAGCTACTGGCACCGTGCCCGCCTGCACCAGCGGCTCTGCCAGCTCAAGGGACCTAGCTGCCAATACAGGTGGGCATCACCTCTCTGCTATCATTCCCTTCCACTGGGGGGGCACTCCACAGCCTCCCCCACCTCTGCAGCCCTAGCCACTCCCTTCCCAGCCCCCCCACCTCGCTTCCTGCCACACCCACATACCTGCTATCCTCCATGCAGTGTCTGGGGTCCCAGAACCACCTGTCCCAGGAGCCCCATGTGAGCCTGGGGCCTCCCTTAGACCGACCCCCGTCCTCTCCACCCACCTCCTTCCCACCTAGCTCTCATGTCTCCTTAGCTCCAAGGTGCATACAGGCTCCAGGGTCTCTCCCTCACTGCCTTTCTTTGTGCTCAGGGCAGCACAGTCTGTTCCCCCAGAACGACCAGGACCCCCACAGAGGGCTCTGCTGATGCCAGGCACCAAGGTGAGTCCTGGATGCTGCAAGAGAAGGGGGCGCTCACCTGAGCTGGCCTCCAGCATGGGCCCTAGGGGAGACAGCAACCAGCCTCGCCCAAGCACCAGCCCATCAGTCGGGGCCAGCGCTGCCCCGCCCAGGGGCTCAGGCCCAGGGCAGGGGTCTTGCAGCTTTGGAGCAGGGAAGGGCAGCCCCTCGAGATGGAGATGTACGCTGAGGCCCTTGAGCTGCCCACCCCAGGGGTTTGGCAAGGTGGTTGCCCTGTGGTGGGTACAACAGGTATGCCAGGCCAGAACAAGACCCAGGTCACCTTAGGAAGAAGGGCTGGTGAGTGTCCGTGCCCTGAGCATTCACACACCCCCAGCAGCTTCTGTCGGCAGGCAGAGCCCCTGCAGAGGTGACACGTTGGTCAGCCTAGTCGATGCATGCCACCCATCACTGCATGCATGGGCCCCGGCTGCGCAGCCCTCACTAACCCCTACCTGCTCCGTCTGTCTGTCTGTCTCTCTGCTCCCCCTCCCTCCCTGGGCTGTCAGCATCTCTTGCTCTCTCATCAGGCCAGCGCCCCCAGCCACCCAGGGCCCCCTTCCAGGCCACTGCCGCCTGACCCTGTGCCCAAGAGACTCCAGGTAAATCTGGGCCAGGTCCCACGCGGGGCAGACGGAGGCTTGGTGCCCTACTGCAGTTGTCATCCCTGCTCCCTGCCGGATAGGTGACCGGAGGTGGGGGGGGCCCTCAGCCTTCTGACCTGGGAGCCCCAGAAGCAAGAGATGGTGAGCTTCCTGCCTTGGTCTCTACCGCCATCTGGTGGTCAGCGGCGGGATTGCAGCGGCGGCCAGGGACTCAGGGCCGACTCACACCTTCCAGCTCACTTGCTCGGCATGCACCCCCCAACCCCAACTCTGTGTGCATGCCCCTCACATTACTCCCGCCCGCGCCCCGACTGACTTTGCATGTTGTCCCCGAATTCCTCCGGGAGCTCCTGCATGCTCACTGCCCTCAGCTGTGCCTTCACAGCCACCGCCCCTCTCTCTGTTCAGGCTGCACTGGCTGACCGACCCAATCCCCCCACCCGCCCGCTGCCCGCTGACCCGGTGGTGAGGCACCCGAAGGTAACAGTGGTGGGAGCGAAGGGCACAGCCTCTCCTCTCCCTCCCCTACCCAGGGCTGTGGTGCTGGTCGCTGTGGTGAGACGCCCCCTCTGTGCCTGAGGCCACAAGGCCAGGTGGCACCTTGAGTGGTGACAAGTTGGTTTGGACTGCTGGTGCTGTCCGAGAGCTGGTGTTCCTCATACCGGTATATCGGGGTGGGTAACATGACAGCCCCAGATCCAAGCTGGCCTCCTGCCTTCCCCCTTCCTTTCTCAGCCCCAGGGGCCTGCCAAGCCGCCACCCCCTAGGAAGCCACTGCCCGCTGACCCCCAGGACCGGCGCCCATCAGGTGACCTGCCCGGCGCAGGAGCGGGCCTTCCGCCTGCGGTGATCCCTTCCAGGTATTAGAGCTTGGGTGCTGCGGATGGATGGGCGGAGCGCCAGGGCTGGGGAGGCGAGGGCAGGGCTGACTCTTTTTTTTTTTTCTTCCCCCTCTCGGCTTCCTGCACCCCAGGCCAGCTCCCCCTCCCCCAGCGGTGTCCTCGCTCTACCTCTGAGCTCTCCTGCTGTCTCCAACGTGGAATTGGGACTTCAGGAAAAAAGAGACTTACCCGACTTGTCCCCTTCTTCGTCCTCCCTCACCAAGGACTGAACCTGCACGCGACAAAAAACCAGGCGTCTTAAGACCTCGGGCGCCGTCGCCGCCCGCTGAGCAGCACCCCCGGGGAGCCCGGCCACGCAGCTGCGGCGGGAGAGGGTCCGGCGGGAGAGGGGTCCGGCTGCGAGGGGCTTGGGGCGCAGCCTTGGCGCGGCTGGGCGCAATAAACGCGGAGCTCCGGAGCGCGCCTCGGCTCTGCCTGCCGTCCCGGGGGCGGCCGCCAGGGCACGCTGCCGCCTCAGCCGAGCCACGCCGGGTCGCCTCCCCAGCGCGCACGACGCGGGTCCGCTGCGCCCTCGGCCCCCGCCGGGTCTCCCCGCACCCCGCCCCGCCCGTGGCCAGGCGCGCCCCTGGGGACGGCCATGGACAACCGGCCGAGCCGGCGGGCCTGTTGTCCCCACCCTGGGGCCGGTGGCTGGGAAAAGTGCGTCTGGCCGGTGCCCACGGAGCTCGGGAGCCAGGGCGGAGTGGGGCTGCGGCTCCCACGGTCCCAGGGCCGCGCACCTGCCTCTTCCCCCTTCCCCGCCCCCACCTGAGGGCTCGGGAACAAAGGTGCTTTGTAACCGGCCGCCGCCGTTGGCTCGCCTCGCCTTTGGGACTCGAACGGCGCGGGTCCGCCGAGGACGCGGCGCCCACCCCCGGGGGGACGCGGGGCGCACAGCCTACGACTCCACGGAGAGGCCAGGGGCTGGGAGGTTGCGGGGGGCGGGCGTGTCTAGAAAGCTTTGTTCCTTCCCGGCTTGCAGAAAAGGCGGTGGTAATAGGAAAAGCGACTGAGTCTTCTCAAATCCCCGGCCCTGCCTCATTTTCCCCAATCTTGGCCCTTCCAGGTGTGTGCCCCTATTTTGAAACAAACTCGTAATGAGGATTTCTGTGCTGGACTAACGCGGACGTGAAGGGCATGATCTCCCTTTAAAACAAAAAGTGCTGTCGGTGGACGCGGTCCGTCCTCGGGGGACGCCGGCGTGGGCTGCGCCGGGCGCGCGCTGCGGGGCACCAGGGGTTAACCAGAGTTGGCTCTGGGGGAGAGAGGCGGAGACGCGCTGCCATTGGTGGAAAGTTATCCAGGGGCGTGGCCTGGGAGTCTCCGCACCCCACCCCACCCCCTCGCCGCCACCCCCACCTCTCTCCACTTTGTACCTTTCTCGCCCCGACTGCGAAGCGGGCCGGGACCCGCCGGGCCCGAGCCGACCGGACCCCGGGGGCGATGCGGCTGCTGCCCCTGCTGTGGACCGTCCTCTGGGCCGCGCTCCTCGGCTCCCCTCTGCGGGGAGGCTCCAGCCTCCGCCACCCCATCTACTGGAACTCCAGTAACCCCAGGTAGCCGGGCCGAACCGGGCGAGCGTCCGGCCGGCCAGCCGCGGGGTGGGGGGGGGGGCACAGGGCGAGGCGCGCTCTCGGGCCGCGCGCGCGCCCGCCTGCCCTCCGCTCCGTGCGCGGCGCCGCCGGAGCCCGGCCGCGCGCCGGGGCTCCTTTGTTTGAGCCGGCGGGGGAGGGGGAGGGGCAGGCGCGCCCCGGGGCTCCCCCCACCCACCCCGGGCCGCCCGCACGTGTTGCGGGTGAGTGGGTGGAAGACCCCAGCCCGAGGGCGGGCGCTGGGATGAGGGCGCGTGGAGCTGGAGGGAAGGAGGGGGTGCTGGGCTCGGCCTGCACGCCGGGACCCGCCCCCCTCGCTTGGGTCGGGGGCTCCCGGTGCTGCGGCAGGCCCGAGCTGGGGGGCGGGCCGACCTGGGCTCTCTCGCGCCGTGCAAGGGCCCGGCTCACTCTCGGGGCCTCCCCTCCGGCGCGCTCGGTGTCGAGGCACCTCTCTGGGTATCTTTGGCTTTCATCTCGGGTCTTTATAGCCGTCCTGCTATTTCGGTGCAGTCTTGGCCCTGCCCTTCTAGCTGAATCACCTTTGACCGCCCCGACCTCAGTTATGTCATCTGTTAAATGGGCTAATAATGCCTGGTACCCGGAGAGGTCGGGCTGCTAGCTGAGAGCGTGCAGGCTGCAGAGACACCTCTTTCTACTGAATCTGTGAATCTTACTGCTTCTATCCCCTCCCCAATACTCTCTGCCTCGCGCGCCTTCCCCATCTGTTTTCCTTTTTGATTTTCGGCTGGATGCAATCTGTGGCTCTGCATTTGTTCACTGGCTAACATTTAAGGGAGCACATCCTGTGTATGGGACCTTTGCTGGCCAGCCCAGGATTTGCAAAATGGGGGGGTGGGGTAGACCTGGAGACTCCTCTCCCTGGGAGTCCCCTGACCCCGGGAGGGGGCTGGGTAATGACCTGTCATTACAATACCAATACTGAGTGATAAGGGCTATTGTTGCCCTCGGGCAGCCGAATTCCTCTCACTGTTCCAGACCAGTGCCCCTGAATCGTGTGGGGACCTGTTCAAAATTCAGGTTCCTGAAGTGCCCACCCGAGGCTCCCGGCTCGTCCTTCAGTGCAGGGCTTTTTCAGGCACGGGGGAGGGGGGGACAAAGCACTGAGACCCTGTGGTGGGGCCTTGGCCGAGCCCAGGGACCTGCATTTCTGATCAGAACTCCTGCCGCAGGTGGCCTTCTGGCCACCCATCAAGGGGCCACTGGGGACTTGCTGAAGTCTGGCTCAGCCTCCGGGGGGGGGGGGGGTGGACGAGAGCAGGGGAGGGGAGCAGCGTTTGGGACTTCCCTCCTGCAGCCTGCTGCCCAGAGGTGGCTGGCGGGTGAGGGGAGGCAGGCCTGAGAAGGCTGCATGTGGAGGTAGTGTGTGCCTGGCACTTCCTCGCCCTGGCAGGGAAGGAGCGGAGGCACCTGGCAGGGCTGCCCTGGGCGTTCTTTCCACCACTGGGCTAAGGGCTAAAGCTCATGCTGTGTCTGTTAGGAAAGATGTTGGTCCCCTGTCCCTTCCCCTTGCGTCTCTGTGTGTCATTGCACTGGGGGGCACCTGGTGGGTGGGTGGGTACCACAGTCCCTTGATCTCTCTGAATTGATCACGCAGTTTGAATCCTCTCTCTGGTCGGGCTGGAGGCGACTTCCAAAAGGGATGTCCAACTCCCCCCACACCTGGCCGTGCTGGACCAGAACCCCTTCATGCTGTCCCTCCCTCCCATCCCCCTTCTGCCCACAGGCTGCTTCGAGGAGACGCTGTGGTAGAGTTGGGCCTCAACGACTACCTGGACATCTACTGCCCACACTATGAAGGCCCCGGGCCCCCCGAGGGCCCCGAGACCTTTGCCTTGTACATGGTGGACTGGCTGGGCTACCAGGCCTGCCGGGCCCAGGGGGCCGGGGCTTTCAAGCGCTGGGTCTGTTCCCTCCCCTTCGCCCCCTCTGGCCCTGTTCGCTTCTCGGAAAAGATCCAGCGGTTCACCCCGTTCTCCCTGGGCTTCGAGTTCCTGCCTGGAGAGACCTACTACTACATCTGTGAGTGGCCAGATGTGAGCACGGCCCCCCAGGGTGGGGAGAGGGGGGCTCCCTGCCACCTGTCGGGGCTGGGTCAGGGGAGAGCATGGGCGCTGCCACTGCAGCGGAGGGGGGCAGGAGGGGCAGTGGAGCCCAGCGCTGGGCAGCCAGAGCTTCCCTAGGAGCGGGGGGCATGGACGGGGCTGAAGGTGTTGTGAGGAGAGGGTTTTGAAGCTTTCTGGGATGCTAAAGAAAGAGAAACTGGGGGTGATCTGAACCCAAGGGTGCAGTGCCCTAGGGTGACTTCTTGCCCCCTCCTGTCCCCTCCAGCTGTGCCGACCCCTGGGAGTTTTGGCCAATGTTTGAGGCTGCAGGTGTCCGTGTGCTGCAAGGAGGGTAGTAAGTAGCCGGGCTTGGGAGGTGGAAGTGGCGGGGGGGGGGGGGACCTGGGGAAGGAAGTAGAGAGTGGACAGACATTGTAAGTGGACACCCTTACCCCACTTGGCTTTCTGGGGGCTTCCACAGCACCCCTTATGGAGTAGGGTGGAAGGAGCATGGGGTAGGCTTCCCGGCCTGGTCATAGAGAGCTGATGCTGTTTAAGGGAAAGTAGGGGCAAACTCGGGACGTCCAAGGTCAAGGTCCTGGGACCAGTCTGGCTGGTCGCAGAGACTCCGGTGTAAAGGGCGGTGGGGAGGCTGCTGAAGAAGTGGGGCGGCCCCTCCAGCGTTTCCTCTTTCCGTCTCAGAGTCTGAGTCTGCCCACCCGGTTGGAAGCCCCGGAGAGAGCGGCACGTCTGGGTGGCGAGGCGGGGGCACTCCGAGCCCCCTCTGTCTCTTGCTGCTGCTGCTATTCCCGATTCTGCGTCTTGTGCGGGTCCTGTGAGCCGACAGGACCTTTCCAGATGAGGCCCGCATGCTTTCAGAGGAGTACTGCCACCTGCACTGGAGGTGTCCAGTCAGCCAGAGGGTCTGCGATGGCTCTCACAGGCTCCCGCCCCGCCGAGGAAGCACATGGGGGGAAGCTGCAGACATGGGGGCACCCTCTGCAGATATGACAGCACAAGCCTCAAAGCCATGCCAGCTGCTCACTTTCATATTCTCATCTCAGCCCCCACCAGGAAGAGTGGGTTTGGAGGAGTAGAACTCCTGAGCCAGCTACGGGCCAAGACTGAAGACCTGGCGGCGGGTCACTGCTTGCCTTGAGACCAAGCAGCAGTCCACAGAGCTGTGCCCGTCTCCTGCCTGCCGCCACCACCACTGCCCCCCTCGGGAAAGGGGCAACGCCTTGCCCTCCTCTGGGGGGGGCACTGATTTGTCTTCTGTGAAGACGGACTTGCCATGAGGTTGAATTTCATGCCAGTTTGTATTTTTATAAGTGTCTGGACCAAACTTTCAATAAACCACCTGCCTTTCCGTTGCCCTCCCCAGCCTGCTGCCCCCTCTGGCTGCTGCCCTGCTTGTCAGGACTCCCTGCAGTCTTTGCTCCCAGCCTGGCTTGGTCTGACCTCCCCATGCCAGCTGTGCCCAGGCCATGGATGACAGGCCTTGGTGGGCACCCCTCTGGGTAGGGTAGGGTGAGTGCCAGCAGCAGCTGTGGAGTTTGGCACCCTCTGACACTTCCCTTGGAGGGGGCAGATGCTCCTATCAGCCCACCTGCTATCAGGGGCCCTGCCCATGCCCTGACCTCAACAAGCTGGCTGGCTGGCTGCTGGGGCAGAAGCAGGGGTGGTAGGGAGGCAGCCCTGGGTGTCAGGATGCCTGGGTCCCTGGAACGGACAGCCCTCCCCCTCCCCAAGGGCTCTCTGGGCCGTGCCCAGCCTAGAACTGGGAAGGTGGGGTCAGATCAAAGCCTGCTTCCCCAGCGGCCTCTTTGTTCTTGGCTTTTATAAGGAGGAGGGGGTGGGGCTGAGGAGGGAGGGCCCCCCCCTAATACTCCCCACCCTGCGCGCTGACCCTCCCACCTCTGGTGGGCGAGACTCGGACCCACCAAGCCCACCAGGACCCTCTTCGTGAATGGTGCCCTGGATGGAGACCAGATAAAGGGGCACCCCTTCCTTGCAGCAGCGTTCTGCCCGCCCTGGTGCCCCCGCAGCCTCCCCTGGCACAGAGCCGGCCCGCCTGGCACAGAGCCCGAGATCGATAGGTGGATGTTGTGCTGATTAGCTCGGCCGGCTGCGGCAGCGAGAGGCAGCGTGTGAACATGGAGGGAGGGGAGGGGCGGGCGGGGGAGGGTGTGGACGCCAGGGGTCCGGAGATGCGCGACTGCTGCCGTGGGGTGGGGTTGCGAGTCCCTCCCCCACCCCTGCAGGGCCGGGACCCCTCTCGCAGGCGCGGGGCTCGCCCAGCGTCCAGCACTGACTTGGGCTGTCACCGTTCGTGTTGATTCCCTTGTTCTGGCTGAGGCCTGGGGGTGGTGGGCAGGGAAGGACTCGGGGTCACCCCTCCGGGCTGATGGCCACTTTGTGTAGGGCTCTCCCTAAGGCCTCTGTCTGGGGTGGGGTGAGGGGGAGTCGGAGCTGCTGGAGCTATGGGCTGGGCTTGTGGTCCAGGGTTCGAGTTCCATCTCTATCGGCATGGGGGGGGGGGGTCCATGTGTTGCCATGGAAACCGCCGCGCGGACGCCTCCTTCACAGGAGAGAAAATGTCCGTGGAGCCGACCAGGGTGGCTGGATACGGCAGCCTCAGCCCTGGATGGAGAGCCGCGATGGGTGGGGGGCAGAGGGAATGGCTCTGCGTTCCCAGCGCCCTTCGTGGCGGCCTCAGGCGGATGCGCTCGCTCCCGAGGCCGGGGCTGACACGCGGATCCGCTGCTGATAAGAACGCATGTGCGAAAGGGACGCGGGGCCGGTGGCCTCGGCGGTCTCTCAGACACACGCCCTTTCCCTGCCGCGCTCCCTCGACAGACACCCGCCCTACCCCCGGCAGGTGCGAGCGCGGCTGTGCCGGGGAACCGCCTGGGGGCTGCTCTAGGGATGGGGGGTCGACACTCCGGCCTGCTCAGCCGCCAGCATAGGGGCCAGTGGACCCTTCCCACTGACGGCCTGGGCCCGGCGCAGGTGGCTGATTCAGGCCAGGGCGCGGCCTCTTGGAGAGCAGCTGGGATTCAGTCCGCTCCTGAGGCCGAGTCGGCCGCGCACCGAGCCCGGAGCCCCCAGGCGTGTTCCAGGGCGCGGTTCCAGATGGCTGGGTAAGCCGGCAAGTTTTGGGGCGTCACCGGCCTCCCCTAAACTCAGCAGCGCTAGATGGCGGCTCAAGGTGGGGCTGTCACTTTGCTGAACCTGCCCTGGTCTCTCCCGAGCGGAGGCGAAAACCCCACCTCCGGAACTCCAATCTCCTCGACCCAGATCCTGCTCCATGCCTTGCAAGCCTTCCTTTCCCCCTAGAGACTGAATCCTGCAGTTCGGGTCTTTTTCCGTGACCTCTCCCCGTTTCCTTTCTTCTTCCTTTTCTTTCTTTTCTCCTTATTCATCCACTCAGCATGTGCAGCAAGCTCCCAGCGTGCCCTTCTCTCAGCCAGCTAAGAGAGCTGGGGTCGTCGGGGGATCCCCAGCGGTGACGCAGTCCGAGAGGGGACACTCAGGCTTCCAAAGAGCCAATAGAATCCCGGGGCCTGGGGCATGAGGTCATCAGCGGTAATGCCCATTGGCTCAAGCCTGGAAGGGGAGGCAGGGGTCCCATAGCGACCGACGGTGCGTCCCAGCGCTTACAACTTGGGGAGGGATCCTAGCCCCAGCTGCTGTGGCAGTCAGGTGGATGCTTGGGCACGGCCTGGGCAGCTGGGTGGGGCTCAGCCTCCCCAGTCCCGCGATGGCAGCCCCACTCTGGAACTAAGAGTGATGGTCAACGCCCTTTGACCCAGAAAGGTTACAAGGGGTTATTGGCAAGGGCCTGGGGTTCCTGGGTACAGAGCTGTCGCCTCGGGGAATGTCACTTCTGCAATCCTGGTGTTCATCTGCATATCGTCTGCATCTCATTTACATTCTCTTCATTTAAGGTCAAATTGGGCAGACATCTCCACATCCCCAGACCTGTCCCTTGTCTGTATCCGGAATCTTCTCCCCGTTCGCCCTCTAATCTCGCTCTCCAGTCGTCTAGCTCCACACCCCACCCCTCCTCCCACTCGCTCTTGTCTCCCCAGAGTGGGAAGGGGAGAGGATATGGATTCAGCCTGTCCCTCTGGGTCCTTACTGACAGATGAGGTGAGCTGGGCTGTACTGCCTGGAGACTAAATTGGTAAAGCAGCGGCAGGGGGGAGGTGTCCCATCTCCTCCACCCCCCAACATCAGCCAGTCGCTCCACCACTCGCTGCATGGAGGGTCTCCAGAGCCAAATCACCCACACGCCTGGCAGGGTGCTGGAACTCAGGAGGCCCCTTTCCAGAGAGGGGCAGGCCTGCCCACCTGTCTGGTGCCAGGGCAGCTTCCTTCCTCCAATTAAACACTAATGAGGTGCCATTAACCCCTACCCTGCCTGCCAGCCCTCAGGTGAAATTCAAATTCATGGTTGTAGACTGAGGAAAGGCGGGGGAGGAGGGGAGGCAAGGAGGACCTTTGAGGAAACCCAGTGAGATCATTCCATGGACAGTCCTGGGTACCGGGGTCCCCTGTTCATCGATGTGATTATCACTTATTGAGTGCCTCACCTGCTCCTACCAAGGACCAGGCTGCTGCTCACAGGCTAGGGACCCCCACTTGCACAAGACAAGAACCCTTTTCTTCAGGAAGTCCAGACAACCGGAGGAGATGGGTTGGCCGGTGCAGAATGATAGGGCCAGGGGCAGGTATCACCCAGAAGCTATGTATCCAATGCCGTGGGGACACTGCAGAAGTGGGGTCATGAGCTGAGGCCGCGCTTCTGAGGGGCAAGGGTTTGCTGAGCGGCGAGCAGTGCTGCTGTTTGGCCATGGTGCAGGTCCACGCTTCGATACAGCCGGGGCCTGCCCTCTGAGAACCACCCTCCCAGAGGAAGGCGTGTGTGTGTGTGTGTGTGTTGTCTGGGTCTCCCTGTGTCTGGAATCCCTTTTCCTGAACACACATTGTGGTTTGAGTGCAGATCAATGTTTGGTGTAAGGCCCTCCTGTAGATTGGTCTGAACCTGCCCAGCCCAGGGGAGGGGAAGTGGGAGAGCTAATGTTGGCTCCTCAGGAATGGGTGGGCAGGTCCTGTCTTCACCCCTGGGAGCCCAGACCAGAGACCCCCAAAGGCAACAGGCTGGCCCCTGGGGCAGGCCAAGGGCTGGGTGCCTGGAGACTGTTGGGTGTGTCCAGGCCACCGATCCTTCTGCCTCCTCTTCCTCAGTGAAAGACAGCAGGGCGAAAAGAGGGGCTCACAGCCACTACTTCCCACCAAGCACCCAGCACCACCCCCTGCCCCGTCCCGCCCGCTCCTGCTCTGTCTACAGAGAAGCAGGCCGGCTCAGACCTGTCTGCTGGCTTCCTCCCACAAGGAGCGGATCCTTTCCAGGGGACACGAGAGGGCTGGGGAATGCTGGGCCCTACTGGGCAGCCGCCAGGTGCTCCACCCGGCCCTCAGACTCTCCAGGGAGGATTCTCCCCACCCCCTCAGGGGTGCCGCTTTGCAGGCCTTCTGTGTGTGTGTGTGTGTGTGCCTAGCCAGCTCTGCCAGGAAAGCCCGCCACAGCTAGGTGGTAAGGCGGGGCAGGGGCTCTGGCCATGGCTCTGACAGGTGGGTTGAGATGGAGGGGTTGCTCAGAAGCCTTCATTCCCCCAGTTCTTGGTTCTCTCTGCCTCCTTGTAATCACTTCTTAGCCAGCTAAACTTTGGGCGTAAGGAGAGTTGTGGGTTTCAGAAGCAGCTGTGGAGTCTGAAGAGAATATCCAGACCCCCTCCTTCCACATGGTCAGCCAGGGGGCTCCTTTTCCCTGTAACACCCCTTGCCCCTTCAGCTGCTCTTTTCAACCCCGTCCCTGCTCTCCCAGCCCAAGCCCCCATCCCCTCCCCCTGCTAGCTGCTCCGGAAGCTTGGGAATGAGGGAGAACAAATGGAAGTGAGACCTCAGCAGACAACCTCTTAATAATCATGTTGGTGAGGCCTCCATTAATCAAGCATCTCTTGGGTCCTAAACACCATGCTAAGCGCTTCCCAGACATCATGGATCTTGATCCACCCCACATAGCTCTGTGAAGAGAGGTGGGGGAGGGGTGAAGGGCGGGCGGTATCATGCCCATTTCACAGATGAGGAGTTACTCTCAGGGCCAGTGCCTGTTAGACCTGGAACTTGAACCCAAGGCCATGCTGCTAGCTCTGATGTCCCCACAACATCCCAAGGGCACACACATGCCCGTCCTGCAGTTCCGCAGGGCTCACATACATGCACCTCCTGCAGATCCCCATGGGCTGGCCTTCTTGGTCACTAGCCTTGGCAAAGGACTCAGAGATGGCTGGAACCAGAAGCTGTTGCATCCTGACCCCACCTAGCCAGCCCTGCTTGCTGGCTTCCAGTGTCCTAGGCTGCACAGTGTGAATTCTGCTCCCTGCTATCACCATGTGAGGTACCATGTCACCTTGTGTCCATCTGAGCACAATGGAGCCACATGGGCACCACCCCTGGAAGTCACCAGGCACATGGGTGGTCCTCCTTGCGAACACCCAGGTCCCGTGTTAGGAGGGGCTCCAATGGCCCACCCCTTGCCCCCTCCCCAAGGGCATTCGTGGGCTCTGGGCAAGGTGCAGAGCCTGTGAATATTTCATGTCCAGAGCCGGCGGCTGCCTCTCCCGCTCACACGCGTGCCGGATCTTCCCTCTCACAGGCTCCTTGTTTATTTGTTTAATGAATTATTTATCCAAGCCCCCTCCCTCTTCCCTCCTGGCCTCCCCTTCCCCCAGGCCCTGGCCTCCATGATTTATTGAACACAGCTCAACTCTGTGGTTGCTACTAGCTATCCGGGGAGCTGCCATGGGCCACACTATCTGAGGGATCCCGGCTGCCCAGGGCCCCTGGGAAAGGAGGGCAGAGCAAGGCCCCTGTGGGAGAGTCCCCAGCAGCCCTCGAGAGGCCCTGGCAGCCAGCAGGATTGGACAAGCTTTAAGAGACCTTGGGATAGGAAGGCCGAGGCTGTGGGGCCGAGGTAAGAGGCTAGGGGCTCTGCAGAGGGGGAAGACCAGCTATGACATGTACCCTGTTCTGCAGAGAGTGGGGCTGGGGTCCAGTTGTAGGTACCAGCATTTCATACCTGCCATTGTACCCATTGTGGGGTGTGACATCAAGAAAACTAGGCTGGGGGTCTCCTCCAGCTTTGTACTTCCTGTCAGTTGGGAAATCGCAAGGCAAATGTCACAGTGCATCCTCTTGTGGGAGGCCATTGTATCTCACATGTGTTTGATGTGTGTGGGATTACACAGAAGATGTGTCTTCTGTGGGTCAAGGTCAGGAGCAGTGTGCTATAAACAAAGACCTGGGGGTTCCTGCACAATGGCTCAAGTGACTAATCATCTCCTTCAAGTGCTGGGATCCCATGTGGACTCCGGTTTGTGTTCTAGCTGCTCCACTTCCCATTCAGCTCCCTGCCTGTGGCCTGGGAAAGCAGAGGAGGATGGCCCAAAGCACTTGGGCCACTACATCCACATGCAAGACCCAGAAGAAATTCCTGGGTTCCCAGCTTCAAATCAGCTCAGCTCTGGTTGTTGCGGCCCTTTAAGGAATGAACCAGCAGGTGAAAGATCTTTGTCTCTCCTTCTGTCTGTAAATCTGCCTTTCCAATTAAAAAAAAAAAAAAATCTTAATTTTTTTTTTTCCTGAAGGCCAGATCCCACCAATAGGCTTGCGTCTTGACACAACCTGGATACCATGGAGGGCAGCCATGGCTTTCAGACCAGGTCCCAAGCATCCAGGCATGTGGCCACATCTTAGGCACAGAGAGCCGGTCCCCGGGGAATCATGGCCCATGGATAGGCCTGAGAACTGCGTCGAGAGCTGTAGCCTATGGTTGGAGCTGCTTCAGCCAGCTGTGCAAAGAGCTACCTAAGGAGCAAGGTGGCCTAAGTCCAGCTGTCCACTGCAGTGGACACAGATTCCACTAAAGGGAGCAGCCCCTTGGCTTTTGCATAAAGTACCACCCACCAAAAGACGCATGCTGGGGTCTAGGTCTGCAATAAGGGGTGAGCTCCAGTTCCCACCAAGACCCATGTCAGCATCCATCCCTGCAGACACACACCCAGATCCCCCAGACACAGGCCTAGGCCCTGCGGAGTGTCTCAACTGAAAACTTGGAAGCTTAAGCCCCAGGTTGGCCCTGGGCTTGGTGGGTTAAGCTGCTGTCTGCAATGTCTGCATCCCAGAACAGTGCAGCCAGTTGAATCCCAGCTGCTCTGCTTCCAATCCAGTTCCCTACTGATGTGCCTGGAAAGGCAGTGGAAGATGGCCGAATGCTTGGGCCTCTGCCACCCTTGAGAGAGACCAGGATGGAGTTCCAGGTTCAAGTATTAGTTTTTGCAGCCATTTGGAGGATGAATCAGCTGTTGGAAAATCTTTGTCTCTACCTCTCTGCAACCCTGCCTTTCAAATGAATAGGTAAAATCTTAAAACAAAACAAAACAGCCAGTGCTTAGACAAGGTTAGAGAGCAGTTTAAATCCTGTAGGGAGGACTCCAGACATAGAGGGAAGTAAAGAAGTCTGGATTCTATTCTTTCTTTCTTTCTTTTTTTTTTAAGGTTATTTATTTGAAAGGCAAAACATCAGAGAGTGAGAGAGAAACAGATCTCCCATGTGCTAGTCCATTCCCCAAATGGCCGTACCAGCTGAGGTTGGGCTATGCTACAGTCAGGAGCCAGGAACTCCATCTGGGACGCGAGTATTTCAGCCATGCCCCACTTCCCAGTCGCCTTGGCAGGAAGGCGGGTCACGAGCGGAGCAGCTTGGACTTGAACCGGCCTTTCAAGCAGTGGCCTTACCCACTGCATCAAGGTGCTGGATTCCAAGAGGAGCCTCTGAACACTTTAGAAAAGGGCCCAAATGCTGGGGCAGGAGGCAGATTCCATAAACAGGAATCAAGTTTCCTAAAAGGGAATCCCAAGCCCTAGACGGACTCCCCCCAAGGATGGGGGCGGCTGTCCACTGTGGCCCCAACGAGAGCCACCTGCCTGTGTGCAGGGGGGAGAAGGGGCTGGGTTCGCAGTTCTTGGAGGAGGGCAGCACCTGGAGGGTGAGGACGCTCCATCTCCTTGGGGATGTGGAGTCAGGGGGCAGGCAGAGCTGTTTGCAAGTCCCCCAGCCCCACCCCAAGGGGCCCAATTTATTTTCTTGCTCCTGAGAAGGGAGAAGGGATCTCCTGGGGTGGAGCAGTGCCCAGAGGGCCACAGCGTGCCCTTGCCTGGCAGCAGCAGCCAGGCACACATGGTACTGCCCCTCCCCCAAGCCTGCACCCGAAGCCCACTGGCGGCCAGCACTCTGCCCAGCCAGGGATCAGCAGAATGGGGCAGAGTGGGGGCTGTTGTCCTGTCTCCTGAAACGCAGAGTGAAACTGCATCCCAGGCACAGGTGGTTGCCCTGTTTTTTTAAGAACGCAGTCTGAGACTCTCACCTAGCCAGAGCCAGCAGACACAGCGCTGGCCACCCCCTTAAGTCCTAGCTCCTAGGAAAAGAAGTGTATGTGAGAGAGGGTGCACGGGTCTGTGTGTGGGGGTGCACACGTGTCCGAGCCTCTGAGCCTTACTGCTGCAGACCAGCTGATGGCACTTTGACCCCTGTGTGCCCTCCGGGACATCTGTGTGCTCATCTGTGGGGTCAGGTGCCCATGGTGCCATGTCCTTCACCCCTGGGTGCCTGCCCAGTGTGTGTGTGGGATGTGGGTGCTTAGTGTCCCCAGTGAGGACAATGACTGCCATGACCCCCGGAGGCAGTGTCCACAGGAGTAGGAGTGAGAACACCTCGTGGCAGCACTGCCTGCCCTCCGGAAGGGGCCTGCCTGGTGCCGTGAGAGAGGAGCCCTTTGTGCCCGGTCCAGGAAAGCTGGCTCTCCCCTTTGCCCACTCCTGTGCCCCAGGCCCTGGACTGCTCAGCCTCCCCCGTGCCCTCATTGACATTCTTGTCCGGGGGTGGAGGGCTGAATGTCTCACTCCATCCCCTGAAAGACAAGCCTGGGGCTCCCTGAGAGTGTGAGGCTACCAGCTGCCTGGGTCCTTGGTGCCAGCTGAGGGCCTCTCCACTACCCCCGTGACCTGACTCCTCATGCAGAAGGAAAGAGGGACGTGGAAGGAACATAGGGCCAAACTGTTGGCAAAGCAGGGATGAGGGGCGCGTCCTGACAATCAAGAGGCGGACACGGCTGTGCAGCCCTCCTTCCCCCAGCTTCTCCTCCTTCATCTCATCCCAGAGGAGCAGGCTCACAGGAGACCGAGATCTCCACCCTGGTCTCCCCAATCCCTTTCTCCTAGGAAGCCAAAAGGCCCAGTTGCAGCTGTAGCAAACCGAACCCAGGGGAGAGACGCAAGGCGCGCGCCGGGCGCTCCCGAGGGGACCCGCGCGGGCGTCACCTCCCACGCGCCGCGCGCTCCCGAGCCGGGCGGGGCGGGGCCTGGCGGGCGCGCACCAGGGGCGGGGCCTCGGGGGCGCGCGCGGGGGGCGGAGGGAGGGCGGTGGGCGTGGCCTGAGGCCGGGGGCCGGCGGCGGCGGCGGCGGCGGGGAGCTCGCAGGCGGAGAAGCCGGGAGCGCGGGGCTCAGTCGGGGGACGGCGGCGGCGGCGGCTCCGGGGATGGCGGCGGCTCCGCTGCTGCTGCTGCTGCTGCTCGTGCCCGTGCCGCTGCTGCCGCTGCTGGCCCAGGGGCCCGGGGGGGCGCTGGGCAACCGGCATGCGGTGTACTGGAACAGCTCCAACCAGCAGTGAGTCGGGGGGCCTCGGGAGCCCGCGCGTCCCGCGTCCGTGAGCAGGGGGGAACCCGGGGTGGGAGGTCCTGGGAGACGAGGGGAAGAGGGGCGCACGCCAGTAGCGTCAGTGAACTCGGGGTGTCTGCGAAGCTGTTGGGATGGAGCGCTCGGGCCGTGAAGAGGAGGCTGCTGGGGGGGCCTCACCCCATCTTGGCTGCTCGCCACGGCGCCGCCAGAATAGTGTCCCTCTCCCCCAGCACCCCCACTCTACCCCAGCTTCACTCCCTTGGACCGGGCTGGGGTTTGAGGATACCGGTGTGCTGGCCACAGGCCGCCTCGTTTCGGGGGCCCTGGATGACCTGCTTTTCGCCCACGAGGGTTTCCAGGGGTTCTATTTAGGATTCCCGATTTCCAAAGTGGATCCAGAGCCCAGGCGGGGAGTCCAGCCTAGCACCTCCCCCGGAACCGAGACGCCTGCCTGCCTGGGGCTGCCCGGGCCGCGCGGATGGAAGCCGGGCTGGGGCGCCGAGCCGGAGGGGGCCAGGTCGGGGTGCCGCTCGGCGAGGCTGGGAACGCGGGGTGCAGGCGTTGTGGCACACACACCCTCGCCGGGGCTGGGGACAGGCGGACGGCTCCGGGTGTGAGCGGGCGTGCGCGCTGTCACTGTGCGTGTGTCAGAGTGTGTGATTTGTGTGTCTGCGTCGGCGGGGTGGGGGCTGGAGGGGGCGGCGGGAACGGGGAGGGGGCTGCGGTCGGGGTCCGCCGCGTGGCCGGCCGCGTCTGGAGCCGGGGGCCTGGCCGGCGCCGCGGCGGTCGGGGCGGGTGTCGGGGCGGCCGTGCGGTCTGCTCGCGCGCGCGTGTGGCGCGGCGGCCGGGTGCCGGGGGCCGCTGGGCGCGCGGCTCAGTCCGCGCTGCCCTTGTCCTCCCCGCCCGGCCGCCCCGGCTCTCGCCCCGGCCGCCTCACTGTGCGTCCGTGTGCTGCCGGAGGAGGGGGTGCTGGTGGTGCTGGTGGTGGTGCTGGTGGTGCTGGTGGTGGAGGGAGACCCCCCTGGGGACATGGGTGTCACTGTCACACCTGCCCTGGCGGTGGCGACAGCGCTGCCACCGCGACTCCCCACCGGGGTGGAGTGGGGGCGACCCGGGGAGCCCACCAAGACCTCAGGGGAGAGGACCGGGCGGCCGCGACCCCCAGCCTTCCCGGGGGAGGGGCTGCCGCTCACCGCTCCGCTCTTTGTTGTTTGGGGCTCCGCGCCCCCCCCCCCCGCCACCCCGTCTCTTCTCGCGCCCAGGGTGTCAGACTGGGGGTGGGGATGAGCCCACGACGCCCCCTTCTCTTGCTTCCCATGGAAACCCGGGGGGTGGGGATGCGGCCCCTCCCCCAGGGGACTCTAGGAACTCTGGGGGTGATGGGGGTTGACTCCCCTGCCCTATGTGCCTCGTTCTTCATCCCCTTAGACCCGAATATGCGCCGCCCCCCTTTTCCCCGCCCGGCTAGAGTCTGGAGGGCTCGCAGGTGAGGGGGCCCCGGGTTCCCCGCCACCCCAAAGGCGCCTCCACGTTCCTGGGGGAAGCCGGAGCCGAGTGGGTGCGGGAATAGCTTTGGCAGAGTGGGAAGGGGGGTGAGTTGATAAGCTTCCCCTCCCCCGCATACACCTGGGCGCAGGTGAAAGCTCCCGGAGGGGGTTGGGAACCGGGGTTCCGGGAGCCTCCTCTGCCTGCCCGACTCCCGTGCGAGCCTGGACCGGCAGAGGGAAGAGGTGGGGGTGCGCACCGGGCCAGCAGGCCGCGCCGCCGCCCCCGCCTCGCCTGCCCGGCCTTTGTTGCCGCTGCGCCGGGCTCCCCGGCTCCCTCACTGCGGCAGCCGCGGCCCCATAAATCGTGCGAGCGACGTGCTCCGGAGCCGGGAGTGGAGAGGGCCGGGGAGCTGGGGGCGGGGCCGGGCCGAGCCACAGGCGCCCGCGCCCCCTCCCCCCGGTCACGTGAGCCGGGCGCCCGGCTCCCACCTCGCGTCACGTGCTGAGGGTCTCTGCTCCTGGGGGTCACGTGGGGGAGGGTCCTGGCGACCCCGCCTCCGGGGGTCACGTGGTAGGGTGGGGGGACACGTGCAGCGAGCTTCCTTCGACACACCTGCTGGGGGCTTGGGGGGGCAGTGCCCCGCACGCGCGGCGCCGACCGAGCCCTGCACCCTCGCCCCCCGACAAGCTCAGCCCCTCGGTTTAGGTGCTGTCCGCCCCCAACGCAGCTCAGGAACTCGGGATGGTGCCTGGCGCGTCAATGCTAGGCCGAGGGGTTCCCTCCTCGCCCCCGAGCTCGAAATGGAGTTTGGAAGGGGTCCCCTCGGCCTGCGCTTGGCTTCTGCGAGGAGCGGGGCAGGGGTGTCGGCGCCTCGGAAAGCCTTGGGGACGCAGCTCCACCACCATCACAGCTGCCGCCTTCGTCCTGTCCTGCCCGCTTCGGCTGTGGGCCTCGCTCATTCACACGTTCCTTTCAGCAAATATTTATTGAGGCTCTACTACGTTCCTGGCGGCCTGTGACCCCCCTCCCGGCTGCCCACTCTCTGCCCTCACCCCTCCGTAGCCACGAGCGTCTCCCGGGGTTCTGTCCTCGCCTCAGCCGCGCGCCGGTCCCGCTTGGCCTTCCGCAGCCCTCGGCGCCCTCTCCTCCTGCCGCGCACCCCCACTCTCTCCTCCCTGCGCGCGCACCGGGTGCGCCCCCTCTCCCTCTGTCTCCGCGTCTCGCTGTCGGCGGGTCCTTCGCTCCTCTCCGCCGCTGCAGATCAATAAACCTTCGCCGCCGCCGCCGCTGCTGTCGCAGGGACGAGGGGCGGGGGCGTCGGGCGCGCGGCTTCTCGCCCACCCCGTCGCGCCCAGGGCGGGGAAGCCCCTTGGCTCAGACCCGGGACCCCGCGGGGGACCCGGACGCCTGGGGTAGGTGCGGGGGTGTCGGCCCGCGAGCGTACCCGCCACCTGCTCCCTCCACCCACCACACACACACACCCCAGCCGGGGCGCGCGGACCCCACGTCGCGCACACGTGGTCCAGCCTCGCCTGCCGGAGCGGGCGGCGCGCAGCCTCGGGGGCGCGCGTTCAAGGGAAGAGGAGGAACCGGGTCCGGCCGCCTCCACTCCCTGAACTCTGGGTACCGGCGTGTAAGATGCGACTGGGTGCAGAACCTCTTGGGACCCCGTTGCTGACTCCCCGGTCTCGTTATGCGCCCTGTTTACCTGCCCCTAATTGTCCCAGGGGAGTGTTGCGGGGAGAGGTGTGCCCGGCCAGGCCCCACCGAGAACGCAGCTCTGAGTGGGGCCGGGCGCGGGAGGGCAGGCACAGAAACAGTGCCAGAGGGGGGTCCCGGGCACGCCGCGGGGTGGGGCCGGCCCCGGACGCTAGGGACACTAGCTGCAAAGGAGCAGTGCGGACACTCGGCTTTCCGTGAACAAGAGTGATGGGAGGGCAACGGGGGCGGGGATGGGGGGGCGAAGCCGGTGGAGAATAAAAGACTTGCGGGAGGGGCTGGACACAGCCTAGTCCCCGCGGGGGTGCGCCCTGGAGGCGGGGTTAGCTGCTGCCGCCGTGCCAGGGCCTGGCAGCGGCGGGGCGAGACCGAATGACAAATTCAATTAAAGTGCCCAAGCCCAGCAGACAGGTCGGGTCCCCCAGGACTTGTGGCTGGCAACTCCTTGTGCCCAACCCTTCTCCCGATGCTACCAGCGCTCCCTGGGCTTGGCCATCCACTGGCAAAGCCCTCTCCCGCATTGCCCATCCTTGCGGGTCATTGAGGGGGTGCGGAGGAGGACAGGGACCTGCTGCCCTGCACAGGCAGGAGCTGGCCTCCCTTGGCTGGCGCTGGCTAGCAACCTTATGACAGGCTAGTCCCACCCAGTTGGGAAACCCAGCTAGCTGTAGCAATAGCTGCAGAGCAGGGAGATGGGTGGTACAACAAGGAGGGGCTCCGAGTGGCACTGGAAACAGGGTTGCGGCCAAGGACAGAAAGCTCCAGTGTGGCCTTGCGGAGACTCCAGGCCACCAACAACGAGGGCCCTTCCCCAGAGCCTGTGGGAGGAACAGCAGGCTTTGGGCCCAGGGAATGGCCCGGTAAGCCGAGGGTGGCGGCGGCTGGGAGGCAAGCCTGGTCTAACCCGTTTTCCTGCTCCCAGTGCCCCAGGCCGCGACTCCTGCCCACCTCGGTGCCAGGGCCAGGGAGGGGCCCCAGTGACCCATCACTCCCATGGGAACCGAGTGGGACCGGTGGCATTCCTGATGACTCAAGGAGGCTGTGCCCGTTCTTCCCAGGAATGCCCAAACGCCAGCTGTCACCTGCCTGCTCCATGGGGAAAGCTGGCAAGGGGCTGCTGGGGGAGAAGGGAGCTGGCCAAACTGAGCAGGGGAGGGGAGGGGGACCCTCAAGGGCCTACCCCAGGCAAGGGCCTCCAAGTTCGTTTCCTTAATGGATCTAATTACTGTGTGGGGAGCGGGGTGGTGCCAGGAGAGCCAGCCCCTCTCCCAGGGGTTCCCAAGGACCCCAGCGGTCCTCATCCCTGTACCAAGTGGGGACACCAGCCAGGGAACTGGTTGCAAGGGACCCCGCATCTGTGAGTCCTAGAGAGGCACAGCCATCTTGCCTGGGCACCAGGCCTACTTCTCTGCCTTTCCTGGTTATGGGGAGGGAGGTGTGTAAAGAGACAAGTTTGGAGTGGTTGGCATGATGCCACGTGGCACCTTACTGCAGCGTCTCTGTCCTCCCTGCTCTGTTGCCTCAGGTCGCGGGGGATCTACTGTCCGAGGCTGCTAGTGTGCCGGTGGATGGGTGGGCTGCGAGGCCAGGAAGCCTGAGATTTGCTGGGTCAACCAGTACTGCCCTGTGCTTTGGCTCACACGCGGCTTAGGAGTAGGTGCTGAGCACATGTGTGTGCGCCGCAGAACCTGTGCATGTATGCACAGGAAACCGCCCTGCAGGCGTGAGCAAGGGCAGATCCCCCGGCGAGGGCCGCAGCAGCAGAGCTCGCTGGGAGAGGCGGTGGAGGTGTGTGTCCCAGGAAGGGAACCCTCCCGCTGGCCTCGCGTCCATCCCGGCGACCCCTGCTCCCAGTCGGAGAATGATGGGGGGTGGATGGAGGAAATCCGGGCCTGGGTCTGAGAGTCGCTAGGGCCTGCGCCGTTTCTGTGGCAACCTAGGCGCACGTTCCCTCCTTCCCTCTGGAGGCGGGCGGGCTTCCCCGCGCTTCTGCTGCCCTCTGGTGCCCACCCGGAGGAGGACAGACCGAGCAGGGAGGGCCCGGGTGACAGGCGCGGGGCTGAGAAGGGAGGAAGCCCGCAGGAGAAGTGGGGAGCCCGGGGCCCCGAACGCGGGCTGGCTTGGGGGTTCTTCTCTCTGACCTGCTTCCTTCCGCCCACAGCCTGCGGCGAGAGGGCTACACCGTGCAGGTGAATGTGAACGACTATCTGGATATTTACTGCCCGCACTACAACAGCTCGGGGGTGGGCCCGGGTGCGGGGCCGGGCCCCGGAGGCGGGGCGGAGCAGTACGTACTCTACATGGTGAGTCGCAGCGGCTACCGCACCTGCAACGCCAGCCAGGGCTTCAAGCGCTGGGAATGCAACCGGCCGCACGCGCCGCACAGCCCCATCAAGTTCTCGGAGAAGTTCCAGCGTTACAGCGCCTTCTCGCTGGGCTACGAGTTCCACGCCGGCCACGAGTACTACTACATCTGTGAGTGACAGCCGGGGGCGGGACCTGGGGGATGGTGTGTGAGTGACAGCCGGGGGGCGGGACCTGGAGGAGATGGTGTGTGAGTGACAGCCGGGGGCGGGACCTGGGGGATGGTGTGTGAGTGACAGCCGGGTGCGGGACCTGGAGGCCTGTGTGTGAGTGACAGCCGGGGGCGGGACCTGGGGGATGGTGTGTGAGTGACAGCCGGGGGCGGGACCTGGGGGATGGTGTGTGAGTGACAGCCGGGGGGCGGGACCTGGAGGAGATGGTGTGTGAGTGACAGCCGGGGGGCGGGACCTGGAGGCCTGTGTGTGAGTGACAGCTGGGGGCGGGACCTGGAGGGATGTGTGTGAGTGACAGCCGGGGGGCGGGACCTGAGGGATGGTGTGTTAATGACAGCCGGGGGCGGGACCTGGAGGCCTGTGTGTGAGTGACAGCCGGGGGCGGGACCTGGGGGATGGTGTGTGAGTGACAGCCGGGGGCGGGACCTGGAGGCCTGTGTGTGAGTGACAGCCGGGGGCGGGACCTGGGGGATGGTGTGTGAGTGACAGCCGGGGGCGGGACCCGAGGGATGTGTGTGAGTGACAGCCGGGGGCGGGACCTGGAGGCCTGTGTGTGACAGCCGGGGGCGGGACCCGGGGGATGGTGTGTGAGTGACAGCCGGGGGCGGGACCTGGGGGATGGTGTGTGAGTGACAGCCGGGGGCGGGACCTGGGGGATGGTGTGTGAGTGACAGCCGGGGGCGGGACCTGGGGGATGGTGTGTGAGTGACAGCCGGGGGCGGGACCTGGGGGATGGTGTGTGAGTGACAGCCGGGGGCGGGACCTGGGGGATGGTGTGTGAGTGACAGCTGGGGGCGGGACCTGGGGGATGGTGTGTGAGTGACAGCCGAGGGCGGGACCTGGAGGGAGGGTGTGTGAGTGACAGCCGGGGGCGGGACCTGGGGGATGGTGTGTGAGTGACAGCCGGGGGCGGGACCCGAGGGATGTGTGTGAGTGACAGCCGAGGGCGGGACCCGAGGGATGTGTGTGAGTGACAGCCGGGGGGGCAGGACCTGGGGGATGGTGTGTGAGTGACAGCCGGGGGCGGGACCTGGGGGATGGTGTGTGAGTGACAGCCGGGGGCGGGACCTGGGGGATGGTGTGTGAGTGACAGCCGGGGGCGGGACCTGGAGGGATGTGTGTGAGTGACAGTCCGGGGGCGGGACCTGGGGGATGGTGTGTGAGTGACAGCTGGGGGCGGGACCTGGGGGATGGTGTGTGAGTGACAGCTGGGGGCGGGACCTGGGGGATGGTGTGTGAGTGACAGCCGGGGGCGGGACCTGGGGGATGGTGTGTGACTGACAGCCGGGGGCGGGACCTGGAGGGATGTGTGTGAGTGACAGTCCGGGGGCGGGACCTGGGGGATGGTGTGTGAGTGACAGCCGGGGGCGGGACCTGGGGGATGGTGTGTGAGTGACAGCTGGGGGCGGGACCTGGGGGATGGTGTGTGAGTGACAGCCGGGGGCGGGACCTGGGGGATGGTGTGTGAGTGACAGCCGGGGGCGGGACCTGGGGGATGGTGTGTGAGTGACAGCCGGGGGCGGGACCTGGGGGATGGTGTGTGAGTGACAGCCGGGGGCGGGACCTGGAGGGATGTGTGTGAGTGACAGTCCGGGGGCGGGACCTGGGGGATGGTGTGTGACTGACAGCCGGGGGCGGGACCTGGAGGGATGTGTGTGAGTGACAGTCCGGGGGCGGGACCTGGGGGATGGTGTGTGAGTGACAGCCGGGGGGCGGGACCTGGGGGATGGTGTGTGAGTGACAGCCGGGGGCGGGACCTGGAGGGATGTGTGTGAGTGACAGTCCGGGGGCGGGACCTGGGGGATGGTGTGTGAGTGACACCCGGGGGGCGGGACCTGGAGGGATGTGTGTGAGTGACAGCCGGGGGGCGGGACCTGGGGGATGGTGTGTGACTGACAGCCGGGGGCGGGACCTGGAGGGATGTGTGTGAGTGACAGCCGGGGGGCGGGACCTGGAGGGATGTGTGTGAGTGACAGCCGGGGGCGGGACCTGGGGGATGGTGTGTGAGTGACAGCCGGGGGCGGGACCTGGAGGGATGTGTGTGAGTGACAGTCCGGGGGCGGGACCTGGGGGATGGTGTGTGAGTGACAGCCGGGGGGCGGGACCTGGAGGGATGTGTGTAAGTGACAGCCGGGGGGCGGGACCTGGGGGATGGTGTGTGAGTGACAGCCGGGGGGCGGGACCTGGGGGATGGTGTGTGAGTGACAGCCGGGGGGCAGGACCCGAGGGATGGTGTGTGAGTGACAGCCGGGGGGCGGGACCCGAGGGATGTGTGTAAGTGACAGCCGGGGGGCGGGACCTGGGGGATGGTGTGTGAGTGACAGCCGGGGGCGGGACCTGGGGGATGGTGTGTGACTGACAGCCGGGGGGCAGGACCCGAGGGATGTGTGTGAGTGACAGTCCGGGCAGGTCCCGGGCCGTGGAGGAACAGGCCCTCAGGAGGCGGGAGCCTGGCAGCCTCCTGGTTCCCCAGAGGCCCGGACAGGGTTTGGGTGCAGCACCCACCGTGGGCCCCTGTCAGTCGCTGTGAGGCCCTGGCGCGTGGGGGTTGGCGTCCGGCCGGGCGGTGTGGAGGGCGGCAGCGGCTCACACCCCGTCTCGCCCGCAGCCACGCCCACCCACAACCTGCACTGGAAGTGTCTGAGGATGAAGGTGTTCGTCTGCTGCGCCTCCAGTGAGTCTCGGCAGCCGCGCCCCGTCCTCGGCTCCCCCGCTTGGGGCTCCCTGGCTTCCTGGGGGCGGGGGCGGAGGGCAAGGCGAGGGGCGGCTTGCTCCCCAGCTGTAGCGGAGGGAGGGGACCTTGGCCCTGACTCTCCCCTCCTCTCTCCCCGCTCCCACCGCACCCCGCAGCATCGCACTCCGGGGAGAAGCCGGTCCCCACTCTCCCCCAGTTCACCATGGGCCCCAATGTGAGGATCAACGTGCTGGGTGAGTCTGCGCAGCGCCCTCTGGTGGCCTCTGCTGGAACCGCAGCCCCCCCTGCCTGCTCACTCACCTCGCATGCCTCTCTGCTCCTGGGGACCCCAGCGACCCCGGCCCGGGTGGTCACGCCCACCGCTGCTGCCGCTGCCGCGTGCCCCTGCCCAGGCACGCGACCCGAACCTCACCAGTCTGTCTGTTCGTCTGTCCACAGAAGACTTTGAGGGAGAGAACCCCCAGGTGCCCAAGCTTGAGAAGAGCATCAGCGGGACCAGCCCCAAGCGGGAACACCTGCCCCTGGCCGTGGGCATCGCCTTCTTCCTCATGACACTCTTGGCCTCCTAGTTCTGCCCGCACCCACCCTTGGCGGGGAAGAGATGGGGCAGGGCAGGGTCGGGAAGGAGGAAGCCGGCCTGCCCGGCTGTGGGGCCTGACCCATCCCCTTGGGGCTTTAAAGTGGGGTGAGCGTGGTACATCTGTGCCCACCCCCTCTGCCCTCTTCCTCCCCAGGTAGGGCATGGGAATGAACCAGGTGAAGGAGGGACAGCCACGGCTCCCGAGGGCCTGGTGGCTCTGCAAGTGTTTGGTACCAAACTTAGGGGCCATGAAGGGAGCGCTCAGGGGGTCCCGCCCCCGCCAGAGTGTCTCTCCATCCCCTGGCACCCTCCCCCTGTGTCCCCCCAGACAGAGAACCACGCCCCAGAGAGAGCAAATGGAAGCCTGGGCAGTCCCCGCAGCCCTCTCTTCTGGGGGCTGAGCCTGGGGAGGGGACCCGATGGGTGGGGGGCAGCCGTGGTCGCCACCCCCGCCCCTGTTTACAGCAATAAGCACGTCCTCCTCCCCTCCCCCCACTCCCACTTCCAGGATAGTGGTTTGGATTGGATCCAAGTTTACAAGCAGACACCCCTGGAGGGCAGGCAGTGGGCAGGGGCGGCAAGGTGGGCATCGGGGTGCCAGGCAGGCATGTACAGACTCTATAGCTCTATATATAATGTACAGACAAGAGTTCCGCTCCCTCCCCCGGCCTCCCTTCCCCCCCAGGCTAGACTCCTCACCCCCCCCAGGCTAGGCCCTCCCCACCCGGGGGACCCCCTGGCCCCTCTTTCGTCTTCCGTGAAGACAGGACCTATGCAACGCACAGACACTTTTGGAGACCGTAAGACAACAGCGCCCCGTCCCTTCCAGCCGGGCCCTCGCCCCGCCCACCTCTGTGGTCCCCACCCATCCTCCTGGGCCTTTTTCAAGTGCTTTGGCTGTGACTTTATACTCTGCTCTTAGTCTAAAAAAAATAAATAAACTGGAGATAAAAATAACGGAGTGTGTGTGATTTCCAGGAGCTACTGGGCTTCTCTTAAGGCGGGTTAAACCCAAGGGGCGCAGGAAGAGGGGGAATTCTGGGACCCATATTCCCTCCAACACACATATATGTACACGTATGTACACACACACACATGCCTTGCTCTGTGGCTTCCCTCCTCTCTGAAAGGGGAGATGGTTGTGCCTGGGTGATGGGGCCCTTACCCTTTGAGCCACAGGTGTCCCATGAGAAAATTCATGCAGGGAGCCAAGGGCAGCGGCTCCTTGCCCCTCCTTTCTGTAAGCGCAGCTCCTGGCGCTCTGTGGGTTTCCTGCGGGAGGTGGGGCATTGTGACAGGGGTTGCGCCTTCTGTCCCCTGAAGCTGAAGTGTATTAGTTGCTGGTGAGTGTGGGCAACAGGCTCTGGTGGGGTTCATGGTCTGGTGACTTTGTAACCAATAGCAATGACAGATGTTTTCTGCATTGTGGAAGATCAGTGCCAAGTACCGTTTCGGCCCATCACAACTTGGAAATGCTTGCAATTGTCCTCCCTGTTCTCCATGTGTTATAAAGGAGCATATGTGAACACACATGTATTACTATACCCAAATGTAAAGGCTTTGATTGCTGTGTTTCAATATAATTAGTTTCTTTTTCTTTTACAACTCTGTTTTTTTTTTTAAGATTTATTTTATTTTTATTGGAAAGGTGGATATACAGAGAGGAGAGACAGAGAGGAAGGTCTTCCATCCGATGATTCACTCCCCAAGTGACCGCAACGGCTGATGCTATGCCGATCCGAAGCCAGGAGCCTCTTCTGGGTCTCCCACGCGGGTGCAGGGTCCCAAAGCTTTGGGCCATCCTCGACTGCTTTCCTGGGCCACAGGCAGGGAGCTGGAAGGGAAGTGGGGCTGCCGGGATTAGAACCGGCGCCCATATGGGATCCCGGGCGTGCAAGGCGAGGACCTTAACCACTGTGCCACTGCACCGGGCCCTACAACTCTGTTTTTAAAGAAAAGATTTGATTTCTTTTTATTGGAAAGTCAGAGAAGGAGAAAGATTTTGCATCCACTGGTTCACCCCCCCCAAATGATCACAATGGCAGAGCCGAGTAGTTCCGAATCCAAGAGCCAGGAGTTTCTTCCAGGTCTCCCATGTGGGTGCAGGATCCCAAGGCTTTGGGCCATCCTCAACTGTCTTCCCAAGCCACAAGCAGGGAGCTGGATGAGAAGTGGAGCAGCCGGGACACACACAGGTGCTCATATGTGATGCCGGTGCTTTCAGTGGGAGAACTAGCCAATTGAGCTGTCATGCCAGGTCCTGCTTTGTAACTCTCCATATTTTTGCTCATTCTCAAACACCATGACTACAGGGCTGGAGTTGCTTGGAGCTAGGCCACATAAGGATGGCACTGACATCGCTGGTGTGTGTGTGCGTGTGTCGGGGGAGATGGAGCAGGCAAGCACATGATATGGGCCTGTGGGGGGAGCAAGCAGGGGAGGTGGGGGCAGCACAGGGGGCGCTGTGTGAGTGAGCCACAGGGATTGCATCCCTTGGGGTTTGCTTGCTGAGCCAGAGTCAGGCCCTCCTCCTACCAAGCTGCGTACCCGTGGCCTCTGACTGGCACTGTGGATGCAGGTGCCTCCAGCCGCCCTGTGAGCCAGTCTGCTCTCTGCGGGGGAGATGGTGTCCTAGCCACGCTCTGTAGGGTGTAGGCCTTTCCCCAGGGCACAGCAGGGAGGGCTGGTCACCGAGTCCCTGCAGGGTTCTGGGGGAGGTGGGGGGCTGGGCGGAGCCCAGGGACAGCACAGCCTCTGCTCTCAAAGAAGCTGTCATCTGGCGCATATTGATGTGAGCAGGAATCACTGGCACACGTAATGGCGTGTAATAAATCAACACTCACACGTGTGGCTGCCGGGCTGTGCCTGATGCCTTCAGGATCCGGGAACAGCCAGGCTGGGGGAGGGGGAGAGGGAAGGGACTAGAAGCTTCCAGCGTCCAGAACCCAGCGCCTCCTTCGTATGGAACTCCGTGCCATCAGAAGGTTCACGGGTTTGTGTGCTATGGTTATGATTGTTTTTAAGATTATTATTTTATTTTATTAGAAAGGCAGGATCACAGAGAGAGAGAGAGACAGGCTCTCCACACACACTGGCTTACTCTCCAAATGGCTGCCTGGAAGAGCTGGGCCAGTCTGAAACAAGGAACCTGGAGCCCAGAGCGTCATCTGGGTCTCCCACCTGGGTGCAGGGATCCCAAGAAGTTGCGTCCTCTTCTACTGCTTTCCTAGATCCATTAACAGGGAATTGGATCAGAAGTAGAACAGCTGGGACTTGAACCTGCTCTCATACAGATTGCTGGCATCATAGGCCGTAGCTAAACCCACTATGCTACTGTGTGGCTGAGGTTTTCTCTTTCTTAAAGATTTTACTTATGGGCCCAGTACAGTAGCCTAGCAGCTAAAGTCCTTGCCTTGAACGCGCCGGGATCCCATATGGGCGCCGGTTTCTATCCTGATGGCCCCGCTTTCCATCTAGCCCCCCAAAGCCTTGGGATGCTGCACCCATGTAGGAGACTCAGTAGGGGCTCCTGGCTTCAGATCGACTTAGCTCTGGCTGTTGCGGCCACTTGGGGAGGGAATCAGCGGACGGAAGATCTTCCTCTCTGTCTCTCCTCCTCTCTGTCTCTCCTCCTCTCTGTATATCTGACTTTCCAACAAAAATAAATATTTTTTAAAAGATTTAACTTATTTATTTGAAAACCAGAGTTAGAGAGGAATAGAGAGAAGGGGAGAGAGAGATCTGCCATCCAGTGGTTCACTCCCAGATAACTGCAACAGCCAAGGCCGGGCCAGGCTCAAAGCAGGAGCCAGGAATTTCTTTCTTTTTTTTTTTCAATTTTTGTTTATTTAGTTATTTATTTTTTATTTTGCTTTTGGGAGCCAGGAATTTCTTCCAGGCCTCCCATGTGGGTGCAGAGTCCCAAGCATTTGGGTCAGCTGCTGCTTTCCCAGGCTCATTAGCAGGGGAGCAGCTGGGACTTGAACCAGCACTCCTATGGGGTATTTATACTGCAAGTGCTGACGTTACCAACTATACTGCAATGCTGGCCTCAAGCTCACTTTTTAGAAAAGACTTCTCTGTTTGAAAGGCAGAGGAGAGAGAGAGAGAGAGAGAGAGAGAGAGAGAGAGAGAGAGAGAGAGAGAGAATTCTGCACTGCCCATGCTCACAGCAGCTGGGGCCGGGCTGGGCTGAGTCGGGGGCCAGAGCTCAGGAGCTCCATCTGGTGGCAGCTCCAAGCCGTTGCGCCGTCACCGCTGCCTCGGAGCAGCTTTACCAGGGAACTTGAGGGGTGGACCCAGGCACTCCAGGATAGGATGTGGTTGTTCCAGGCAGCGGCTTAACTCCCTGCGCCACAACTCCTACCCCAAGACTCCCCGTTCTATTACCACAGGGGTGGGCCTAGGAAGCTGTGTCCACTGACATCCCAAAAGGGGGGAGTATCTGTCGTTGTCCCCTGACGACCGGAACCTTCCACACAAATCCCAGCTGTCTTCCCTCAGGTGTACAGCCTCCCCCACCCTCTCCGCACACCTCCACCACTTGGCGTCTTGGGGGAAGACACCAAAGGCTCTCAGATCCAGACTGACCTCTCTCCGTTTGCAGAAGGGCACCCTGCGCCTGGAGAGCAGGTGGCAGCTTCATGGCCACACAGGTGTCCCTGGCAAAGAAAGAACCAGAACTCTGGTGCCCAGAGCACCCTCACTCTCCTCTCACCCTAGGACACCCCAGAAGGAAGCCACAGGTTAGTTCAGGAATTCTCTGGACACCCCACAAACGGTGACCTAGGAGGACAAATTGCTCACCCAGGAGCCTTGGAGGTCTGGCCCAGTGTGTCTAGCAGATTTCAGATCTTGCCAGGACCTACCCTAAGGCAAGGCTTTAGTTTCCGAAGCACCTGAGGGAAATCAGCACCCAGGGGTATGGGCCATACAGGCCCCACAAAGCCATCTGATGTGGCTCTGCCAAGCGAGACTTGAAATCAACGAATCTGGGGCCAGTACGATGGCTCAATTGGCTAATCTTTCACCTTTAAGTGCCAGCATCCCATATAGGTATCAGTACACGTCCGGACTGTTCTACTTCCCATCCAGCTCGCTGCTTGTGGAACAACAGAGGATGGCCAAAAGCCTTGGAACCTTGCACTCACATGGGAGACCTGGAAGAAGTTCCTGGCTCCTGGCTTCAGATCAGCTCAGCGCCAGCCATTGCAGCCATTTGGGAAGTGAACCAGCAGATAGAAGATCTTTCTCTGTCTCTCCTGTCTGTAAAATCTGCCTTTCCAATAAAAATAAATGAATAAACAGCAGATCTGTAGCACCTGAGTTTTTGTGAGGCCTGCTGGTGAGGTTATAGACAGTCACAGGACGCCCATGCTATGTCCTGACAGACGCAGGAGACCCTGGGTGTCCTTGCCTGGACCCAGATGCCCCCTCGAGCAGGGCAAGGGAAGGGCAGAGGGCGACACACAGTCCTGACTGAGGATGGAGACAGAGCAGAGCAGAGCGGCTCAAAATGCAGGGCAGGCCAGGGTGCCGCCCACTCTGCCTATTGCTGCCCCTGCACCTGGGACACACCTGAACCTGCTGGGGGCCACTAAATGCTGCCCAGGGCCTGTGCATCCTGGTGGCCCTGTCCCAGAGCACAGGGTCCCTGCAGGGCAAGTGCAAACCAAGCTGCTGCTGTGCCACCTCCAGCTGGGTGCAGCAGGCTCCTCCTCCTCCTGGGCTGGCTTCACCAGGCTGCCTCAGCAAGGACAGCATGAGGGAAGGTCACAGGCAGGAGACTGGCACACTGGCCCTTTGCTTCCTGTCTTCTCCAGGGCGAGGGACTACAACAGTGACTAACCACTGACGGGACCCTGATCTGGGGAGGGGAGTGAGCCTCACAGGCAGCCCCGACTCCTTCCCAGACGCTGGGGAAGCGGTCACTCCAGTGGAGCTTGAGGCTGGGGTTT